GGCGGTAAGCCGCCCCCGAGCTGGCTTCGGCCGCATTTTGACGCGTTTATTCGCCTGCTGGATGAGTATAAGGTTAAGGCCTTTAATGGCAAGTTGGAGACGCATATGGTGTATGCTCGAGACGGGATTTGCAAGTTGCCGTCTGATCCTAGGCCTGAGATTCGCCCTGATGATCCGAGGGAGATGCTGTGGTTGTTGAATAATCGGACTGATTTTAGTGGGAGCGGGTGGTGTGAGTTGGTGGGGAGGGAGAATATGAGAATTACGGTTTTGGATGATGTGAATCATTTCACGATGATGGAGGCAGGGCCGGAAATTGGCAAGTTGAGCGCTTTTATTAGGAAGGCTGTGGAGTGAGGTATTGTTTCTTTTCGGATATTTTTGCTTTTGGGCAAGGCAGATGAGAATCTAAACGCAAATTTATTTTTCCTCGAATCTAAATATATATATATTTGAACCTACAGCCGAATCAATTCAGGCAGAAGCCGGAATCCTTTGAATAGACCGAATCGTTCAAGACATCCCTTGCAAAAGCACGGGATGTCTCCCTATTCCTAGAAAGAGCCATCACAATTATCCAAGTGACACAAAGTGAACTGGGGTGTCTGCCTCTGCCTTGGCCACAAACAAATCCAGCTTGGGTTTCCGAAGGACATGCCCAAGGTCTATACTCGGAATAGATGTCATCGATCACTCAGGTCAGTATTATGGCCAAGCCAATCCCACAAAAATCGAAGTTAAAGATAATCATTCCATTAAGTTTAATTCAGGCAATAAATTTTAGCTACACACGCCCCCCGAAACACCTTAGTTATATATTCCCCCCTTCAAACACCAAATTCCAGCAATACTAGCAACATTAGCAATACTAGCGCTTGACTGCCAGCACAGCCCACCCCAGAAGTCGATACACAACAACAATCCCAATCAAGATCCCCACCCAAGTGCCAGTCTGACCCGTGTGCATCCCAAACGTTGTAAGGACCCCCTTTCCAGAGATCATGCATTGCGAGGCCAGTTCCGTAGTATACATGCAGTGACAGTCCTGGTCGCAATTGTACGTTCGGTCGGCGAACTCGTTGACCAGCAGCCCCTGAAAGACGTAGGCCTGGTAATCGATGTAGTGGAACAGGTATTTCCAGAAGACGTTCAGGAGAGGCGTGGGGATTAGGAAGCCGCCGACGCACATCCAGAGCCCGTTCACGAAGGCTGTGAGTGCGAGGGCGACGACGAAGTTGGGGAAGATGGAGGACATTAGGACGACTAAGCTCTCTGCGGCTACCATGTCGAGGAACACCCACATGACGAAAGTGAAGAATGCAGGAGCGGTATTGTGGAAGCCGGTAAGCCAGTATGAAATGCATGTAAAAATAAGTGCAATGCCGAATAAGTATGGGAGGCCAATTATGAAGTTGGCGACTGTGAAGGCGGCGGCACCGTAGAGGCCATTTGAGCGCTCTTTGATAAAAGTTAACCTGTCTTCGAGGAATGATGGCACGTAAGCGACGGCCATGAATGATAAGAATGAAGCGCCAAAGAATATAGCGTTGATGAAAGGCTGGATGGACGTCTGGGCGGGGCTGAGGCGTAGCCAAACTGTCCCGCTCATGATGGCAAGGCAGCTGTACATTGCCAGACGTATTCCGTATGCCACGACGTCGCGATAGGACTTGATAAAAGAGCGATGAACGAGAGTAACTGTGACCGCCACAAAATTGGCATGGGAGCTAGTCTTTGAATTGTGTGTTCTGCCTTCACCCGCAGTTATGAGATGGGAGGTGATCTGGCTGGAAATCGCCTCGGAACGCGGACTAGAAGACCAGGCGGCCTGAAGCTTGGATAATTCTTCTTCTGCCTCAACTGGGTCGGTTCCGAAATCCTTGTTAGTCAATTCCAATGCATGTTCCGCAGGGTTCATGTGCAATGGCACTGGGTAGTCGATCTCCATATAGTATGGAACCACATCATCCACAGGCCCGAAATAGTGCGGCTTGCCTGCTGATAGGAGTAGCAGCTTATCAAAGAGTGAGAACGTTTGTGTAGATGGCTGGTGGATGCTGGCAATCACAATCAACTGCATGTCCGTCAGATATCATCGGACGATGCGTATTCGCCTGACTTACATTGTTTTGCTTTGCTAATGTCCTAATGAAGGAGACAACCTCGAAGCTAGCTGCGGAGTCCAGACCACTGGTTGGCTCATCCAAGAACAGGATCTTTGGCGCCGTAATAAGTTGGCTTGCTACGCTGACTCGGCGCTTCTGCCCACCGCTGATGCCCTGGCGGATTGGTGTTCCAATGATGGCATCTTCCTGTTTCCGGAGACCAAAGGAGTCAATCAAGCCATTGATTCTCATGATACGGTCTTTCTTGGTGAGACTGCGGAAGACCACATGTCAGCATGCCTAGTTGGGCAAGTTGGAAGTGAGTGAGGCTTACCCAGGGTTTGACAAGCGTGCAGCAAAGTTCATAGTCTCTCTGACCGTCAAAGACCCAATCAAGGCATCCTCTTGCTCAACGTAGGTGCTCATCTTCCTGAACTCGTTGAGGGACAAGGCGTCTCCATTGATGGAGGCGATGCCAGTGGTATCAGCTCCAGAGTTGTCGCGTCTGGCGAGGGAGTTCAAGAGAGTTGTCTTTCCAGAGCCACTTGGGCCCATCAAAGCACACATCTCGCCTGGGTGGGGCTCATGTCAGTATACAAATCCAACGTGGTATAACAGGGAATAGTATCAGACCAGCTAAGACAACTCCATCCACGTTCTCTAAGATTGCCTTGGGCTGCTTGGTGGCCCGGTCCTGCACCGTTACTGTGACATCCTGCCAAATGAAATGCTTGACAGTAGTATTCTTCAGCTGCGCGTGATGCTCATAGCCTCGCTCAGAATCTGACGAGAACGCGTCTGGGGCCACGCCGCTCTTCAGCTGCGTCGAGGGATTGCTGCGACGCCCTGGCATCTTCAGTCTGCTTGGAAGTGGCCAACGGATATTAATATTCACGGACAGAAGTAGGTCCCAGTTCAGGGAAACTAGCCGGCTTTGAAGAATGACTAGAAGGGGTATTCATGCAAATTTTATTTTGAAATCAGTCAGAACGTGTAGTAGGGTTTGGGCGTTTGCTGTGGAAGCCGCGAGTGAGGGGTTTAAGTTTGACAAGACGTCTCAAGAGGTAGGTGTAAGTCAGATGAGACACGGGAAACGATACCAAGACACAGTAAATCCACCTGGGGAGTGATTCACGGCATGAGGTATTAGAGCAAGCAGGTGCCAGACGCCGACTGAGGCACAACCTCTTCATTCGCACGCGACTGAGACTAATATGTAAGCTGAGTGCATACATACAAACGAATAAAACGTCTATGAGTATCTTCCGGTGTACAGTTCAGAGTAGCAGTGTATCTGTTTATCCGGTCATGTTTGGCTGGGGTTTTCAGCGCCAACTCCCTCATAACTGCCTTCCCAAAACCCACCTTGGCTGCATGTAGGATTTGTCGCGCTGGCATCATCTACAGACAATGAATTCCCGAGTAGATACCGGCTTGCTACATCCATACTGCTGTCGTTGGATGATGTCGTTGGATGATGCCGTTGGATGCCGTTGGATGCCCAGATGAAAAAGTGAATATGTAACAGAATAAGATGATATGTAACATCTCGCATACAGATAATACAGATACCCGTCTTGCATAACCACATTCCCGCGCTGTAGCTTCACTTTTGACTGGCCACAAGGGTTTGAGGTCTGACAAGACATCACCGTGGAAGATTGTCTCCTAATAATTTGTCCCTTGCTCCCTCCCTTGCTCTGTGACCCGTTCCTTCCTTCTCTTCAAAACAACTCCAGGTCCGGCAAGCCCGATGCGGCGTGGAAGAATGTTACACTGGTCTCACCACATCACCATCCCGTTACACGATCGAGGCCCCATCGGAATTTACATGAATTGATCAACTCTGTTTCCCGGACCGGGATCGGGTTACTATGCAGCTGGCCCCAAATGTTGGAACGATCCCCTTCCCTTCCGTAGTGCAAGCCACCCGTGGCGATGTGCTACCCGTACACAGTCGCTGCATCGAAAATCGCTCGCATTCAGACCATCATGGGAATGCGCATCTAGAGTCTTAGAGCAGTTCATTCACCATTCGGGCTTACTTTACCGTGCGACGTGTCAAAACGGGGTTTCTAGAAGATGGAGGCAGCGCGATGCAAACGCTGCGGAGGAATTGAGATTTTGCATGGGCAGGCCATGGATACTATTTACGGCCGTACTATTTATCATACCAGGCCTCTATTATCAACCCGCATTGGGCGTCTATCACAGTGTTGGATCTCATGAAAGCCGAAAGCCCAAGGGATTCATCCTTTGGACAAGTCGAGGCGGCTGTCAGGTCAACTTCACAAGCATGTTCATCTATCTAAATGACAAGATTTCCGTGAAGTGGAGACAAATGAGAGGCACATGAGGTGCAATGAGACGTCTAGAGACATGTGTATACTCGACTATGTTATGTCTCTGAGCTTGCTTCCTCTCACATGCCAATGTGGATTGTTATAATTTTTTTTTCTCGAGGACCCGGCACATGTTTGCAGGTGGGAATCCCACGCCAAAACCGCCAGCGGCACCGGGCGATCTGATGCCGTTCCGGATCCCAGCCAGTGCATATCAACGAAGCGCTAATCGGTACATGTGAATGTATCCTCTCCAAAAATCTCCAAAATCTCCAAAAATGAAGCAAAATCAAATAATTCAAATATAAACACTGTCTTCTCGTGCTCAAATTGATTTACCCCTCTATATTATTGTGCATATCCCCATACTCCCCATACTCTCCATACTCCCCATACCCCCCCCTTTTCCCCCCCATACTCCGGAAAGCGGCGAGGGACGGACATGGCCCAGCGAGTCCATATTAGTGGGCCAAGACCCTGAGCCTCGGTATATCCAGCCAAGATTTGGGGTTTTTGGGGTTTTGGATGATGTAAGTGGGTTCGCCATTGGAACACTGCACGACAACTGGTCAGATGCTGATAAAATTGACCGAGGGCCGATTATCTCCTTTGAAACTCCTATAATAGACTGCTGTGCCCATTCCAAGAAGCTATTCTAACCAATATACCCCATCTCCATTTCTAGTACCACTCGCTCAAAATGGTTGCTCCTCCTCCAGACTGGGTCGCGAAGTTGACGCCCTCCGGGCCGCAGGGCAGTGAGCTCCTCGCAACGGAGCGTGCGAAGAGTAACATCAACATTGACAAGCTGTCCAGCTTCATGTTCGGCAAGGAGGCTTTGGAGAATGAGGCCAAGATCTTGGCCATCCTCCAGTCGGAGAAGGTGTTCGACAAGTCGCAAAATGCCTTCATGGGAAGAGTCGAGAAGTTCCCGGTTGCTCTCGCCAGGGCGAAGAAGCTGAGGCAGCTGCAAGTCAAGCACAACTGGAGCATCGACGACTACAGAGTCGCCGATGGCCTGATCTCCGAGCCCGGCCCATACGGACTTCACGCATCTATGTTCTTGGTATGTTCTTCAGAGTGGTACCCTTACCTACAGTGCATTACCTAATTTATCTAGACTGCCCTCAGAGACCAGGGAACTCCCGAACAACACAAGCTCTTCCTTGAGCCAGCAGAGAACTACAAATACATTGGTTGCTACGCCCAGACCGAGTTGGGACACGGCTCCAACGTTCGTGGTCTTGAGACCACCGCGACCTGGGACCCAGCCGACCAGACCTTCGTCATTCACTCTCCCCATCTCACTGCCTCCAAATGGTGGATTGGCTCTTTGGGCCGCACCGCAAACCACGCTGTGGTTATGGCGCAGCTCGTTCTCAACGGAAAGTCCTTCGGACCACACCCTTTCGTTGTCCAAGTCCGAGACTTGAAGACTCACCAGCCCCTCGACGGTATTTACGTCGGAGATATTGGACCAAAATTCGTAAGTAACTGCACGGAGGCCAATAAATGGAAGTACAGAAGCTAACAGCCGTATTAGGGATACAACACCATGGATAACGGTTTCATCCTCTTCAACAAGGTCAAGATCCCCCACGTCAACATGTTGGCAAAGTACTCCAGCGTCGACGTAAAGACCAACAAGTATGTCCGCCCAGCAGCTGCCTCGTTGGTTTACGGAACCATGACCTGGGTTCGCTCCACCATTGTGCTCCAGTCTGGCCAGACCCTGGCAAGAGGTGTGACCATCGCCACCAGGTATTGTGCTGTTCGCAGGCAATTCCAGGACCGCGATGATGTCTCCAACGACGTCACCGAGAACCAAGTTCTCAACTACAGCATGGTGCAATTCCGTCTTCTCCCTCTCCTCGCATCCACCTTCGCTCTCCACTTCACTGGCAAGGCCATGATGGAGATGTACACACAGAACCAGGAGAGGATGAAGAAGGCTGTTGCAAATACCAGAAGAGGAGCTGGCCCAGAGGAGCTTCAGTCAGGCAGCGACATGCTTGCTGATCTCCACGCCACTTCTTGTGGTCTTAAGGCGCTTGGCAGCACCATTGCTGCTGAGGGTCTGGAGGTGTGCAGAAGAGCTTGCGGTGGCCACGGTTACTCTCAGTTCTCTGGTATCGGCAGCTGGTATGCCGATTACCTCCCAACCACCACCTGGGAGGGAGACAACTACATGTTGACCCAGCAGGTTGCACGCTACCTCCTCAAGTCTGCACGTGCCGTCCTCAAGGGCAAGGCACCCGCCAACGACACCACCGAGATCTTCCGCACCTTCTTGGACGCACAGGACAAGGGCTGCGCCTTCGACATCCTCTCCAACGACGGCGATATCGTCGCCGCCTTCGCCTGGCGCACATCCTACCTCACCTTCGAGGCCCTCAAGCACCGCGACGTCGAGAAGCAGTCGTGGAACTCTCTCCTCGTCGACTTCTGGCGCCTCTCCACCGCGCACTCGCAGTACCTCGTCGTCAAGAACTTCTACGACGCCCTGCAATCCTCCTCCCTCACCTACGAGCTCGACTCCGTCTCCATCACCACCATGCACCAGCTCTTCCGCCTCTTCGCCCTCAGCACCCTCGAGAAGGAGGCCTCAGAGTTCTACTCCTCCTCCGCCCTCACAGTCCGCCAGATCCAGCTCGTCCGCACAAAGTCGGTTATGCAGCTCCTCGCGGACATCAGGCCGCATGCCCTGCGCCTGGTTGACGCGTGGCAGTTCCATGATTGGCAGCTGGACAGCAGTCTGGGCCGCAAGGATGGAAAGGTTTATGAGGATATGTTCTACAGGGCTAGCCAGCTGAACCCGCTGAACGGTCTGACTGTAGACCCTTACCCGGAGAGCGATGTGTTGATCAAGAAGGATGAGACGAACCGTGGCCTCCAGGCTAAGTTGTAAAGTGGGGTCGATGAATGGTGGGGATGTGTATATGGGTCGTTCTACAAGTTTTCTTTTGTTTATGGGTTAGATGATTTAGACCGGTTGGGCGTGTAGAATAAACACAGGGGCGGAGGCATAAGGGCATGTTTCGATATGTATATATCACGATACAATAAAATAAATATTTCATAATAGCTATGTTTTAATTTGCAGGTGGTCGAACCAAAGGCGACTTAGCAATTATTGCCTCTTATTTGTGTCCTTTTGGTTACTATTATATCGCCAGTTGATCAAGATAAATGATAGCGGATATTCCAGACCAGCGGTCAAAGAGCCAATCAACCAAATCAATCCGATCGACGAGAGCCAGCAGCAACGGGCGCTACTTCGTAAGCCGCTGACAAAACCACAGTTAAGCTTAACATACACCCCCATTATCAAAAATGCCAAAATCACCACTACATACTTCTAATACCACCTACCTAATATCATGACCATATAACCACATCACTATGCCCCGCACCCCCGAAGCCGAATCCTTCTTCCACGCCGTCTACGCCGCCATCCAAGAGATCCCCCCCGGCCGCGTAACAAGCTACGCCCACATCGCAAAACTAATCGGGACTCGTAAGGCTTCCCCCCTCCCCCATCTTCCCCCACTCCACAACTCCCCAAACCCACATCATGACCTCAGATCATGACCCCAGCTAACACCCCCACAGCCCAACGACCTCGCCAAGTAGGCGTATGCCTCAAACTCCTCCCCGATGATCCGGCGCAGCGGTTTAATAACCAGACTGTACCGTGGCAGCGCGTTATAAGTGCTAAGGGCATGATTTCTCCACGGCAAGTCCCCCATCTACTCTTGCCCACTTCTTCAGTATCATTTTGTTCGTATTTGGTGATCTAATACGGGAACAGCGGTCATCCGTCAGGTGCAGCGAATCAGGCGACGGTGTTGAGAGGGGAGGGGGTAACTGTTAGCACAGGCGCGTTGGGGGAGTACTTGGTTGATTTTGGGGAGTTTGGGTGGTTCCCGAGGCAGTTGCCTTCGGATGTGGAGGCGGGGGTGGAGTTGAGTAGTGAGGAGGAGGATTGAGGAGGGTGTGCACTGTGTGGAAATCACGGAACGGTGATCAGGATGTATGGTTAAGCCAAGACTACGTCCTGGGGCATCAGTAAACGCTGGCGCATATCACATCAGACAGGAACATCAGCTTATGTGGCAACTGGCATTACTCAAATGTGGATTCTAGTGTTGGGGATCCTCCACTTATATTGTCTGCCTTTGCCGGCTAGGAGAATATGTTATAAGAGCTAATGTATTTGAATCAATCTGACCATGTTCCGTACCCCTCACGCTTGCTCTCCCTCGCTACTGCTTGCCCCCTCGATAGATATAACACCACCAAAGGCATGGTCCCTCCCTTCCTCCTAACTGGTACTATTGGCCAAAAAAAAGGAGCGCCTCCGTTCCTCTTTGGCCAGGGTTTTTTGTCGAACCTGGGTGGTGATGCCCATATTATCGACCGTAACAAAGTATCCAGTCAACCATTTTACCCTCTGGTTCTCGCCTTGAACCGCCCAAAGGCTAGCCCGCCCCGCAGACCTCATGCGTAATGTTCTGATGTCCTGTTGATGCAACCTAGCTATGCAATGATATTTTTTTTAATTCGATGGTGCAACCCCCGGATGATATCGATACATATTTGATGTCTGCAGGGATCAATAACTCCGCGTGGAGCGTAGTACCCATATGCCCAAGGTGGCATTCACCTGGCCTCATCTCCGTCTGCGGCCGGGCGTTGTGGGCCAGTTGGAGTTTGGCTCTGCTGCGCTTGGGGGTGAGGGCCGTTGTGTTGGTGGTAGCCTTTGTTGAAGCTACCGTTTGGTCCTCCTCGCTGCGGCTGACTATACTGCGGCATCTGGGGGCTGGTTCCAAATTGCTGTCCCTGCGGCGGATAGACACGCATGTTTGGCACTAGCTAATGTTAGAAAAGTTCAACCGGTTGTGTGCCATTAACTTACTTTGTCCTGGAGGTTGTTGAGCATATATTGGTTGTCCATACTGCATGCCTGGGCTCATTCCGTATGCCTGTTGCCCTTGTTGAGAGCCGCCTGGCATCATCATGGGCGCAGAGCGACCGGGGCTAGGGTAGCCGTTAGATCCCGCCATGGGTGGTGGGGGTCCATTTCCTTGGGGTGCGAAGTGTGCCTGGTTTACAGGGTACAACATAGGTGGGCCCGGAGCCATCAGATTCGGGTTTCCAATGAAAGATCCGGCTGGACCCTGAATCATGACAGGACCGCCCATGTGGGTCGGCTGTTGTGGCATAAATTGATGGCCACCAGAATAAGATCTAAACTGCGCCATCTGAGGTCCACCTGGACCTACGGGATATTGCATTCCAGGTTGCTGGAAGGACAATTGTGCAGGCTGGCCCATTGGAGATGGATACGCCACGTTCACCTGCGCCAGGCGAGGAGATGCGTATGATTGAGCCGAGTGAGATGGCACCATTCGATGGTCATCGTTCGAATGGAACTGAGCATTCTGTTGCATGGACTGGTTGTTGTGCATATGAAGGGGTGGTTGTCTTGGTGATGGTCTCTGGGTATGGGCACCCTGCTGCAAGTGGAACGGCAGCTGATGCTGATGTGCAACTTGAGGATGCGCCGAGGATGGCTGTTGTGGAGACATTGGCTGTCCCGAAAAGCGAGCGTTCTCGAACAGTTTAGCATAATTCAAGTTCATTGTCGATGATTGTGGCTCGTCGTCTTTGAGTTGTCTCCAAGTTGGGGGGGTATCATAGGCTGGCTTAATCCCGCCATTCGAGGACCAGTCGCGACCTTGAGGAGGCGTCTCCTTCGCTAAGCGCTCAATGATGTCCAGGACAGGTCCATCAGTCTTGGCTTTCGAGGGTGTGCCTAGCTTTCTGCGTAGAAGAGTTCCTGAGGCGGATGGGATGCCCTGACTGGCTGTAGCAGATGCCGAACGAGGGCTGGATGCATTGCTTGGGTTGCCATTGGGGTTAAAAGCCGCAGCAAATGGACTTGGGCGAAACTCATGGCTGTTTGGGTTAAGCTTTCCAAGTAGAGCCGTCGCACTTGTTCGCCTCGGAGCCGAAGTATCAGGGCCATGGGCTGGTCCTGTTGGCGGCTGTCGGGTATCAGCCCCTGGAGCTGGTGAAGCCAGTACATTCTTGCTTTGCTCAATATTTCTCAGCCTCGTCGATAAGGGAGGTGTTGGGTGTCCCTGCTGGGAGCCTGAAACCTGAGAACGAGTGGAGCGATCCTGTCGGAACGGTTGGTTGTTGTGGTAGGGCCCTTGAGGAGGATAACCGCCACGCCCTGGGGCTTGTCGGTTCGAGGTGGCCGAAGTGGATGCGGTTCCAGTGCCAGCGCCAGAGCGTTGAGTTGTCCTCTGATCCGAGGCTGCTAACCCCGATCTCGGGACCTGAATGGCGTCAGCCTTCATCTGTTTTTCCTGCTGAACCTCTTCCGCCTGACGTCTAGCATTTTCTTGAATTGCACGCTGCTTCGCTGGGTCCTTCGCGATAATGGCAACTAGATCATTAGGAAGGGGTGAATGCAATTTGAAACTAGAAGCAAACGCCTTGAGCTCCTGCAGTTTCTCCTCTTTATCTGCCTTTGCCTTGCTCAAGCGCAGCTTATCAGCTTGTGTCCTTTGTTGAGCCGCAAAACCACGAAACGCTGTAACAACATCACGCTCGACTGTCGCAGTTGCATTTGGCGTGGCAATTACCTTTGTATGAGGCGATGCTGCGCCACTTGCAGATGTCGATGTATTCGTGGGAGTTGCCTTCGGCTCTGGTGTTACTACAGGACTGGACTCCGTGGTGGTAGGAGGGGCCGATACCTCTGGTCCACCAACCTTCGGTGTGTGTTTTGGCTTGGTAGTACTCGTAGATGGAGCTTCCAAAGGGGGTCGTGCGAGCTGTGATGAGATAATGGCTGGGTCCACGGGTGCGCCACTGACAGTTGCCTTTCCTGAAGGGGCCCTTCTGGCAGGTGGTGTGTACCTATCAGCCCGGCCAGTCACGGATAGTGGAGGGAAATCCTGCCTCTGAACACCGCTGTATCTGGAAGTCGTTGTTAGTGCGACAACAATTCAAACAGCTGCTAGATCTTACTTGTCCTCTTCATCAAGGCCACTGTCGTCTACCGCGAGGTTGTCTGCCACCCGCTCCTCCTCAACGTGTCTGTTGTTGGCCACACTGTTTTCAATCTCTCTGGCCTTTCTATCGGCTGCTGCATATCGCTTGCTATATTCTGGGTGACTCTTGTCGATCGCTGTGGTGTAAATGGTCTCATCATAATCGGTCTTCAACCCGAACAAGCGCTCGTTCACTGCAAACTGATCCCAGCCACCTCCGGATTGCTTGCCGGTGGACTCAAGAGCCATGTTCACGGGGATGTTTTCATCTGGTACCCATGGCTGCAAGACACGCTCACCTTGTTGGCGATTGCCCGAGATCGCGCTGTCAGTCCGGAAACCTGTAGCAAGACACCCCCTGGTCAGTAGAGAATATGACGGCTGTGGGAGTGGGTTGAGTATACCATTTCCATTTCGCTGCCTGGATTCCCCCGAATCTTGCTTGGAGAAAGACATGTTGGGCAGGTCCCTGTTTGGCCTCGTAGACCCGTTCGCGTTGTTTATTGAAGCAGGGTGTTGTTTCGGCGGGACCATCTCCTGGTCAAGGATAAGCCTGGCGTGCGTAATGCTACGTCTTCAAGTTCACTACTGCGCTATGAAGAGAGATTCGCTCCCACCCCTTATGGGCGACGTATTGTTGTGAGGTTCGATAGTTTCATAAGCTTGCGCGCTGCGAGCCGAGTAAATTATCAACCACACTGCGGAAAGGGTCAGCCAATTTCCTCGTTGCCGCGAGTGAACGTGCATGGTTCGTGGATGGGGTTGAGTGCCAGGAATGGGAATACTAACCTCTTGCAAGGGACGACAGCCTTCTCTTTGGGCAGCACCTTCAGGCTGTGGAGTCAGGTCCGCCTCGTTTGTATTTATTCGGATGGAGCTCCCTCTCGCCCGAATTGACACCAGAAGCCCAGGCTTTCTGGAGTGCTGGCTGTCTATTAATGGGGAAAGTAGAGTTAGCAACTTTTCCTTCAAGGTGTGCAGCTCCTCATCGTCACGGATGAATTTGTGCGAAGGAGTGCGAAAGGGTTTGAGCTTTTTCCCCGTGGTGACGAAGAGACAGGAGGAGCACGCTCCAGGTGGGAGAAGCTCACCTTAGGCCAATGTAAGCAGCTGAGGAGGACCAGAGTATATCTGGCTCTGCATTCGAAGAGGTCGTTGATGTTGACTGCCCTCGTGGTTGTTCCTGTGGGAATGGTGAGGATGGGCAGATGAAGTGGTATGAAGATGCGCTTGGGGATTGTCGTTGTCAATTGGACAGCCGGGGCGTGCCATCTCGCTCTTTTTGCAAGGGTGCGGTAGCGAGCGAGCGTAGTAGTACGAGTAGCCAGCCAGCGAACGAACTCTGGCCCGAAACGACAGTGCATGGTCTAAGAGTAACAAGTCCAAACCTCACGAAATAAATCATGAAACAAAAGGCTCAAGGTGGTAAGTTTTTGTGTAAATCAACAGGTCAAAAATAGCAATTTTCGGTATTCTTTCATATAGCGCAAAGCAGGAATACCCAATATCTGGTACTTAATACATATAGTAGTGTAGTTTAGTAGTGTAGTTTAGTATTGTAGTGTATTTAATACACATAGTAGTGTAGTTTAGTAGTGTAGTACTATATCTACCCTATACATGCGGGATATGGCTCTATTCCACTTTCTCGTCCTCTACAAATACAGTACAGACTGGACTAGTATATCGCGTCTATACTACTAGGATTGCTATACTAGGATTGCTGTACTACTATACTAACATTGCTATACTAGGATTGCTATACTACTATACTAACATTGCTATAACTACTGCTATACTAGCATTTCTATACTAGCATTTCTATACTAGCATTTCTATACTAGCATTGCTATACTAGCATTGCTATACTAGCATCGCTACTAGCATCGTCAGCACCGTATCTCTGTGTATATATACATGCTCCATACGTATAGACGTCGTGCCCATGTGACCACAGTCTCGTTGTCTATACCTACACCTGAGAATTAATACCAGCAAGGCTCGCTGGCTCTATTCTCTATTCTACGTAGCAGGCTTGATGAATCGCGATAGTTTAACAGTATAAGGATCAGTATAAGGATTATCTCTATCTTTATTACGCCAGAGATAGCAAAGTCTGGTCTCGTGATATGATCATCCCCCACTCCTAGAGGTACCTGCCGTTAACTCAATGCCGTTAAGTTAAACAGTTGAGCTGCTGCGGCCCGTATCTTTTAAAACATCCAATCCAGCAAGTGACCCCGGATTCTGTCGTAGCGAATCTCAGCCGCGCCAAGCATTAGCGACGTCTCCCCCTTCACGCCCTGGTATATTCAACAGCCAGAACGAAGAAGTCAAGACAGATTGTTCTGTGTCGCATTCACTCACATCATCCCATCAACCCCTCACTCTATCCGACATCTCCACCAAAACTTCGTTGTATATCGTCTTGTTGCTCTGTACACGTGGCTTGTTTTGATTTCATCACCCACACGTCGCAGCGACCCGGCCGGAGATAATGGTCTGTTGAAGTGCCACCGAGTCCGCGAGACACCAGAGAGGTTTGAATGATGCAGGCACCTCAGCCCTCTCAGCGCTCAATACAACGGAGGTTGCCCGCGGCAGATCCAGGGCCGCCTCCAAGCATACCGGCTCGGGCTATGTCCCCTACGTTAGTGTCGCAATCCAGGGTTTCCACCACCTCGGCGCGAACAACTGGTACTGGGAGTAGTAGCCGGAGGCAAAATGTAGGATGTGCCCAGCGTCTCTTGGGGTGAACTTTGGTGATCTGAACAAATCTAACGTGAATCATGCAGGGCGCCACGCATGGGACCAATTCGGGTCCCCCACTGTCACAGATAGAGAAGAGCGTCACCCACCTTCTCGTTGCAACGAAGCAGCTCCTCGAAACATTGACGCGATGGTCCCGGCATGAAGCAACGGATACAAATGTGTCTGATGTCTATGTGAGGCTTGGATATGAGTTTAACATCGCTTGTCGGGCCTTTGCTGCCATCGGCGTGGATACTTCCGACCTTGGAAATGTGCCAGAACTCTTGCGCGAAATTCTGGAGTCGACACTGAGCCAGGAAGCCAGCCCCGAAGGCCTAGACCGATACCTACCAAAGATTCGAGACATAATCATCACTCTACTTCATGGGTTGAAACGCAAGCAACAGAAGCTACGACAGAAGCAGTCGAAAGAGAGTTCTTCCCATAATTCCGAGATCAACGTCCCGAGAAACACAAGCACGAGCAGTGTTGCCAGTGCGAACACGGGCATTACTACCCTTCTGAATGAAGGGATAGACCCAAATTATATGCCAGACGACAGGATGATTGTCGATGGCAAAGTAGTCACAAAACCAGAAGTCAACCAGGTCCCGCCGCGAGGATCATCAATGTCGACGTCCCCGCAACGTCGTGGGGTGCCCCAAAGGGGACTTTCATCACGCCACTCCATGTCCTCAGAACACTCTTCGTTATCAAGCACGACGATGCAAAATATGCCAGTTCTCGCTCCCTTCTCGGGGGACGAAGCCGCATTGCCTCCCAGGCCTGGCTCTGGAGATCTTACTATGGATGCATTCCCACCACCACCACCTCCGCCGCCGCCGCCTCCGAAGCAGAACGCACTGGCTGCGTTGCAAAGGGGGGGCGATCTTGAGCGGAGAGCATCAAGAAGATATTCGGCATATCATATATCCAAGCACCTAGGTGCTCAAGCCCCCATGCCGATGCTCCCACCTCAAAACTCCCCTATACCAAATCGCGGCAGAGACCTCCGCGAGACAATGAATGCTGTCCGCGGGCGTGGATCAACTGTGCATAGTAAGCAGCTTTCGACCAGCCCAGTTATTACTGAAGAAAATTCAAACCGAGTTCCAAGCCGAATTTCAGAAACTACGGAACCTAGTTCGACTGAAGAAACCCCAAGCGCAAACACTGATCAGCAAAATGCTGAAGCTAAGACGCCTCAAAATAAAGGCCGGAAAGCCAGTAACGACCTCGATTGGCAAGGCTCCGCAGAAGCAAATCGGATTTCGGGTGCCACTCTACAAGGGCCGCCAACTGGTGCTTTGCCCGTTTTCGCCCCTGGTTTATATGAGGCCAAAGAAAACGATGCCCCTTCCACCCCCATCACCGCAGCTAGGCAATCACCAACAACCTATACGGGGCCGAGCGAGAATAGAGAATTTGTGCCAGAGCAGTCTCCTCAGCCTGGTAAAGAGCTTACTCTATTCCTACAATACAAAACGAGAATCAAGAAGTTCGTCATGGCGGATGGCTACAATGATCTGTCCATGGCGCGACTTCAATTGGCATTTATCGAGAAATTTGCATGGAATACGCATAATAACGGTGTGGACTTGCCGGAAATATATATACAGGATCCCGTGTCCGGAGTTCGACACGAGCTTGAAGATCTCTCCGACATCAAAGACCGTTCAGTTCTGGTCCTTAATGTCGAGGCTCTTGATGAGGTCAAACGCCATATCGATGAAGGTCTGGGAGGGCTGAGGAAAATGGTGGAGGGAGTGAAGATAGCTATTGATGACCAAAAGGCGACAATGCAAAGGGTATCCGAACGCCAACAAGATGCGGCTAAAGAGATAACCCGTCTTAGCATGATGCCCCAGATTGCGGCACCGCTCCCAGAACCTTCCGCCAGGGGCATTCCACCCCATTCCCCAAAGAACGAGGGTAACAAGGCCGATATCAATGAGCTGCAAAGCCTGCGCAGGAATTTGGCTGTTGTTAGACAAACCTTCTCATCTTTTCAGGCCAACATGGAGAGTTCAATGTCTGCCATCCGGACAAAGGCCAGCTCTGTGAGCGATGCAGCGATCAGGGCTGCTGTTCCAAACATGAAGAACGATTCTGGTCGTTCATACGTCAATACTGGAAAGAAGACACTCAATGACGACTCCGATAAACTTGTTGGCCGTGTGGATGACTTGCAAGATATTGTCGAAGACCTACGCAAGGATGTTGTTCTCCGTGGTGTCCGACCCCTTCCACGCCAACTCGAGGGTGTCGCCAAGGATCTTTCTATCGCAACACAGGAACTCCGGAAAATGCAAGAATTCCTCAAGCGTGAGCGGCCAATCTGGACCAAGATCTGGGAGAAGGAGCTTGAAACCGTGTGCAACGACCGTGAAGAACTCACCATGCAAGAAGATCTGGCCACCGATCTTCAGGACGACTTAGAGAAGGCAACACAGACCTTTGCACTTGTGGAACAAGCAACAAAGGAACAGATGAAGGACCTTCCAGGAGGAAACCCTGGTGGTCGTGTGCCGTTAAAGAGTTTGAATCATGTCACGCTTGCTGACCCGACAGTCGCCAAAGAGGGAGTCTTGGGCGAAGTTCGAGCACTACAGCCGAACCATGAGGGTAGGCTAGAAGCCATCGAACGTGCAGAAAAACTACGACAGAAAGAGCTTGAAGGGCGGAAAGGAGGGGAATTTCAGAAAGAGCTTGGGAATTTTGTCGAGGGAGGGAAGCTGAAGAAGGCCGGTGGCTTTGAGGAAGTCGAGAGGGCGCGAAAGGCGAAGGATGAAAAGGCACGAAGAGAAGTCTGGGAGCGGCAAAACGGAATCACACAAGCCGACGCAGATATAGCTCCCCATCTTCCACGGATAGCATTGGAGGGCGAAGATGAGCTTGGTGTACAAGAGGATCAACCACCGGTAATATAACGGGCCTAGGGTGGCATTGTAAGAGAGCACTTTGGGAAGACTTTAATATTGTTCGAATGGCAGTGCTGCATCTAGATGGGGGATGCAGGTTCTTGGTAATATGGGTTTCCCGTCCATTGAGCAAGGCGTTGGGGAGGATTTGCGTGGGTTGGGCTGCGTCTACACTACGAATTTGAAATCTATATGATAAAGTATCATTTTCCCTGGCCTTCAGGCCTTACATAGTGAATAGAAGACTATTTTAATGTGCATTAATGTCGCAGATAGAGTAGAGTCGAGCTTGTCGAGCAATGCCCAATCACTAGCGCTAACGACGCTAGTGAACCCATACCAAATATTTTAGGGCGGGCTGCATCGTGACGTGGGGTATCGGCAGCCCCTCAAAAGTAGATGCTTCTCCATCGTTGACTTTCCATAACCAACAATCTGCGTAGATCCTTCTCGTCACATTCGTGCAGGTAGCATTCCCGTCACTGGGCACACTTGACGTCGCATTCAAAGCCACGTACCCGAGATAAACAGATTCTGCAGGAGCCGCGGAGTGGCAAAATCGATAAAGAGTGGCCCAGCTCTCTCTCTTTCATACCTTCCCAGAATCCAGCCTCGTGAACACAGCGACAGGATTCGTGAAGTGGTTATTTCAACACTCGCATCAACTTCATCGCGATAATCAGAATGGCAATGCCACATTCCGGCGCAGGGGATTCGTCAACGGCACAGAGAGGCGCAACTGCCGTAGCGTCGAGTATTTCACAGACGACTGCCGTAGTGTCGAGTAGTTCACAGACGACGACAATTCACTCGACAATTCACTCACCGTCAACACGACAACAACATCCTGTGTTAAGGCTTCGTGGAGCAATGAGGAGCCCCGGAGGGAGGAGCGACAGGAGGATACAATGGGCAGAGGACGTGATTGACAATGAAGGCCTGGGAAGGAAAAGCAGTAAAGGTATGTCGCACCCCTTCCGCCATTCACCACTTCTTCATACCAGTTATCCAGATGAGGCGTGCACGAACAATAACTAACAACAATACAGTCTGCTGTATCTACCACCCTCCAAAAGCCTCAATCGATTCCTCCTCCGACGAGAGCTCCGACTCCTCATCCTCCGACTCCGACAGCGACGACGGATCCGCTCGCCCCGCCGGCGGCAAGAGGCGCACCAACGCTCGACACAAGCATGCCCACGACCACGACCCCAGCGGAGAATGTCACCATAATGGGAAAACAAAGAAGTCACGGAGGTCGCGAAGCCCGAATGCATACGAGAAGATTCCAAAGCCGAAAGAGAGCGGGCCTGCCTAGATGGACAAATTGTTTATGAATGAAGTTATATGAGCGACGTTTTGTATGAAGTTGGGGGTACTGGATAAGGCGTATGGATGGGGATAGCGTGGCGATGTACATACTTCCGCTGTATGGAGTGATTATGGCAATTATCGATTCTCGGTGAACTCAGGAAATGGATCAGCAGGATTATTAAGACCGAATTGCAGAAGTCAATAGAGCAGATACAGAATCAGTATTCTATGGGGCTTCAATTGCTTCATATTCATACACCCACTGCCCACATTTAAGGGCCCTTTGCCCAGCGCCTGATCATACAGAATGCTCCCTGGCTAAATCGTTCAAACGACAAATCCCCCGTCCATCCGTCCATCCCATGTGTTCATCTAGATATCACACATATATCCCCCCTACCCATAGTTACCGTACGCCATAGTCGCTGCAGAATCCTTCCAGCTCTTAAAACACCCCGCCCAGTAAAAATATAATCCCACTTATGCACCAACGCCAGGCACAGCTACTTTCATCCTCCCTCCTACCAAACCGCGTCTATTCCTCCCAGTACGCCCTCGTCCGAGCCAGTTCAGCTTCAATGCCTTACACAGCCGGTCCATCTTGTCCTGCGCCACTTCATCCTCAACCAAAGCCGTACTATATCCCCTTGCTCTCCCTCCGGTTCCAGTGTCTGTAGGCGTTGCCTGTTTCTGCACCTTGACCTCGCTGCCATCTCCTGCAATAATGCCTACTGCAGCAAGAACACTCATGCATTGCAGCATCCTACCTACTGTCTCGGTAACGTGCTTGGAATCTTCGGCATTGACTTCCCTCTGGCTTGTCGTTGCACCAATCGTGCTTCCTGATAGGCCCAAACCGCTACCTGAGAGCATAGGGCTAGGTGCAAACGGTCTGGTGGACTGTGCATATACAGCTTCTCGTTGGTCACTGCCAAAGCTAACATTGCTGACACCGCGGCTTCTTGCGCCTACGCTGTCACTGCCTGCCCCGCTGCCATTCAGTAGTGTTGTAGATTGCGAGCCATACGACGAGAATGCAGGGTCGAGAGACATTGCGGTCCCTGGCCGACCATCTGGCGGAGAGGTGGACAGCGAGGATGGGAGTATTGGCGACTGCGAATACGACGGCTGAGAAGGGAAATTGATGCTCTCTAGGCTCAGGCGAGAGAATAATGTCTGTAGAATCTCGAAGCGCGGAAGAATCACTACGTCTCTATAGGTGGTGAGAACCAGGCGACGGATAGAGAGCAGAAAATGTGCTGGTACTGGGGTCGGGTTGCTGCCGCCGTGGGATAGGCTTGATATCGGCAAGGCTCCCCAGAACTCCCTAGCAGCTGTTTTGCTCATCAAGGGCCCGCATCCTTCAAACTCGAGATCAAGGGGTAGAAAGACAGATTGCAGGTTAGGAAGTACAGACGTGAAAACGAAGAGCCACATTTCGACAAGGCGCGGGATTAATCGATCGTCAGTAGTTACACGGAGGGTGGCATCGATAGATAGGAATCCTGTGGCGAGCAGATCGCGGATATCATCTATAATAAGATTTGGTGCACGCTTCACAATGCAGCGTTGAATATGTATTCTGCATTGGCTAGGTTAGACATAATTGAAAAGGTAATAAGGATCACTTACGAGACAAGTCGATTGAAATCCTCGATTGGTAGTTTCAAGTCCTCTCCCTGAAATACAGCAAATATCTTGCTTTTCAAAAGTGGCCACGCATCATCAGGGCCCATATTATTCAGCCCATACCTGGCCAGGTCAGGTATATCTCCCCCATATATGCTGGCCGGATAAGCTGAGGGCGGCAACCCTGCATAAGGCAACAGCGCAGCTGTAGAGCTCATAGACGAGGTGCCAACCCAGTCGCTGGTGGCTTCGCTCTCCCTTAACACGGACTCCTGGAAGCTGTGGTTGGCAGCGCTCTTTTCTTCTCTTTTCTTTTCACGTAGCGCACGGCCACCATGGCGGAGATCGAGACCGCTCATTGACTTGCTAAAACTCGTTGCTGTTGGACCCGGGCTAGGGGGGAGGTTGAAATTGTAAAAGCTGCTCGGCGCATTTGGGTCTACAGGCCGCGAATTTGAGTTCGCAGATGATAATGGTAGGTGGTGGTCATCCTTTCCACTTAGCTTCTGTTTTTGTCGTGACAGAAAGTGGTGGTGCTTCTTTTCCTTTCCCGGCTCCTTCTCGGCCACAGAGGTGTCGATAGGGCGAATAGTAGCACTGCTAGAGTTTGCAAGACTGTACATACTACTCGCGCCACTCATATTGGAATCCGCCAGGTTGTGAGTACTCATGTTGCCTCTCTGGGGCTGATGGGTGCCGAAACCCAACTTGCTCGGGCTGCCCATCTGCTTATCCTTGCTATCTTTCTCCTTCCCGAGTCCACTTAGCTTTCCCGGCCGCGAAAAGAGCTTAACTTTGCTTTTTTCTGCCTTTGCTGGCTTCTCAGGCTCCTTATACTGTTGCTGTTGCTGTTGTTGCATGGACTCAACAGTCGCAAGGTTCGGGCTTGTCTGCGGGCTCCTCGCAAACACCACGTTTGCAGCTGTCGTGGCCGCATTCACACTACCACCAAGAAGTCCATTGCGATACACCTGCCCACTATGAACAAGTCCCTGTCTGGCCTGAGGCGCACCAAAGCCATTCTGACGCTCCCCAGATGCCTCCGTCAAACTCAATAGCGGTGGGCTCACAGGCCCGCGTGATGGTCGCCTTTGTCCGCCGTATACATTCTCTACCGGTAGGGTCTGGCTGCGTCTCCGCTGGTGGTTCTGATGCTGCATAGCAGCTTGGGCGGCGATCTGGCTTGCGCTCAGAGCCTGTTGCGGAGATTGGGCCGGATCCATTATGGCGGAGCTGCCACCAGGATTGGGGCTGGGAATAGAGATTGTTGGTATCGAGGGTTCAAAGAAGCCCTGGGTATGTGCGTGTTTTCGTTGGTGCACGCGAACTTCGCCTGTTGATGGGCTGTGCGGTCGCGGCGAAGAGTCGGAATGAAATGGCGGAACCGGTGGCTGTATAACTAAATTGGGTTCCCGGTAGGGGTAGCTCAGATTGCCAGCCTTTGAAACCGGACTTTGGTATGAACTGTCGTGAAAGGCGTATGAAGACTGAGTCGGAGGCCACTCGGGCGATGCATCCTGGGGATTGTCTGCGCTGTATGTATAACGCCCAGTCGCGGGCGAGGCGGGCTCTAAATCGGCAGATTCGACTCTACAGATTTGTTGGCGCGTTTGCTGCGATGAGAGAGAGGGCGAGGATGAGGCTGCCATGGGATTGAAAGCTCCAAGTACTCGCTGGCCTGTGCTTGATGAGGCTGACGGTTGCATTATGCGCGTTGTCTCGAACGGACATGGGTTGGAAGGACGAGATAGTGGGGGTAGTGCTAGGCCACTACGAGACGATTTTTGACATCAGCATAGTCGAGTAGCCGTTGCTGATAGTATAGAGAAGCAGCTCTTTAAATGTTGTTGTCGGCGATGTAGCAGAAATATCAAGGAAGGAAAGGGTGGCGCAAGGAGGAGGATTCAGCCAACGTTGTGTACAAACAAACGACACTTGCATTCTAGAGCGACTTTCAAGGTAAAAGGTAAGTTACTTGGTTTCTTGGTTCCAAGTACCCCACTACCCACCAGCCAGCCCACTTTACTCTACTCAATACACCCCTCATTCCTCATTTTTAACAACAGCTTCGAACGACACCAACATAAATGTACGATATACATATATACAGCTGTTAATATTCTCAGACAAGCTTCACAGACAAGCAGCTCGCAATGGCAGACTCATCCCAGACCCTTCGTGCCACTTATAACTCCCCAACAAACCCGACTTTCTCACACACCGCCGAAATACCGTTCTCAACCTCAAATACCACCTCCGAACGCATCAGTTACCTCTCCGCCCTTCGAAATGAAACCAGAAAACTGCAAGACCTGATCAATGCAGAGTTGACGACCCGGATGGAAAATGACAAGGCTCAGCAAGCCTCCGACTTGGCTCCTTCGGCCAAGAACAGCGTAGTTGACGAAATCGCAGAAGAGGAGAACTACGGCGAGGAGGTCATGGAGGAGATTTAAAAGCAGTTCACTCCGTCTCTGCATACGCATACTTGTCTTCAACTCGGCATGGTATTATCTCTGCCCTTGCCCTTGCTCGGCGATTCACTATTCTATACAATAACGCCCCGCGTCATGAAACTGTTCTATTGAGGCCGCGCCTGGCACTTCCTCCATTCCTCTTCAAAGCACCCAACCCGCCGTCAAGGTTCACACCCCGTTGCACCGCACGCTTCGAGCAAGCATAATGCACAACTGTATTGTCTGGCAGCACGGAGACAACACTGCGACCCAGGCGCTTGTGACACACGCCGCACACCCGTTCTTCACCAACAACAACGTGACGGTTTCTACCACTGCCAGCTCCGACTGCGTTGAAGGAACCAGTCGAGTCTGCTCTTCCATCACTCCCCTCGTCTTCTCCTAGAAGAAGACCTGCTTGAGCCCTGACCACCTCGGATTTCCTCAAGCCAGTGACAACTCGTGCCTCGTTTACAACCGAATTCGCAGCACGTATCCTACCGCAGAAATAGCTTTCCAAATCTTTAACTAGAAGGTTGGCGGGGATTAATGTTAATGTGTTTGATGCGGGAAGCCTCGAGCCATGCTTAGAAAGGAGATCAAGCGCTGGCACCCAATTTGGCTCTTGGGGTGGTGGAGGTGTGAGGTACAGTGACAGGAGCGTATGGTATATTGATGGCGAGGAGTCGGTGGAATTTGAGGTCGATTCAAGACGATTGGTAGATGAGTCGGAAGATTGAGACTGGAGATAAACAGAATTGCAGTAACTAAACGTATCGAATAAGATTAGTTATTAAAGGAAGGGGAGGGGTTAATCACATACTTTTCGGCCTTCTCGAAATCTTTTATTTTAAATACGTAGATCTCCAAAGCTTGTTTGTGCTGCTCCATGCTGCTGAGAACCACAGCTTGGGCCTCGTAGAAGTCAGGGTCTGCTCTTTAATTAGTACCATTTCTCCATTATGCTCATGGTTACGTACCATCGCGGGGTATGGATCCAAATGCCTTCAAGGGAGAGTACTGTTTACTCAAACGTAAGAAGGCAAGACACTGCTGCATTAGGGTCTTCCAGGTCTCAGAATCTCTGTCCTTTCGACTTGATAACCCCTGTATGTACGCATTGGAGAGTCGGTTGTGAAAGCTTGGTGTGAGGTCATTGAGTTCATTGATCACATGCTCCAGATACTTTACAACGAGGCTGGCATCAATGCCTTCCAGGAAATCCACGACTTTATCTCGCGGCAAGGTCTCCGCATTCTCCGTATCCGCAAGAAAGACCTCCATTCCGAGATCCGGGTCAGTTCGTAGCGGCCATTCGGCAAACTCAAGGATGAGATCAATTGTATCAGGCTGCAAATTCTGGAGGTACCCAACGGTCCTTTGAGGCCCTTGGAGAGTGGGGCCTGGTTCTTCTGATGTTTCGGCCTCCCCGAACCTCTTTAGAAGTTCTAGAGCCTCTCGGTGTAGTTTTTTTCCGTGGAAGAAGTCCACAAGGTCGTTGTAGCGGTTATTTTCAAGTAATTTCTCGTTAACCACATCCGGTTCACAAAAGTTGGGCAGACGGAATAGTGATCCAGCGAGAGAAGGCTGGACGAGCATATATGCTCTGAAAAGTGTTGTATCCACAAGCTTGGCAGTCTCAATCAGTTTCTGCTCGATCTCGGTGTCTTCTGATGAATAAGGAGACACAAGTAGAGACTCGAAAGCCGCCTTGGAGGTCCCATTTTGGGCACTGGCTGGATGGATTTTCAATCCCCCGCCCCCTGGTTCAATAAATCGTTGTAGACGGGTTCGGGTGTCGACCAGGAACGCGTTGAGCTCACGGACAGCAGACACCAAATCCTTCCCTTCCAGCCGGCCATCTTCTGCTTGCTTGGTTTTAACGCTTGCAGTTTCGCTACCGTCAGAGTCGCCCTTTTGGCCAGGCTTAAGGGACGTTATTGATGCGGCGTCGGAGAGAGTTTTTTTGTGCTGTTTCATAAAACTATTAACGAAGCCTTTCATGGGTGATCCCACGGTTGATAGATCTGCTGCTTGGTCGTCTTGCCCTCTCCCATCCTCATCGTGGTCACCCTCGTCTTCAGGCTCCTCGGGATCAGGAATAGTGGACAGGTTCCCGGCGATGACTTTGGGGTACAGCCGAATGACTCTTTCTGGGGGCGCAGATACTTCTGTGAAGAGTCCAAGAGCAGCACGATATTTTCGTTGGTCGAATAAGAGCTGCGCCTTCTGCATTTTTATCTCTCTTAAACGGCCCTCTTTATCTTGCAGGAGAGCATCCTCCAGAGTGTCCAGGATTGTAATCGCTTCATCATATTGGCCGCCGTCAACCAACTCAGTGATCTGAGAATCGTAATCCGTAGCTTCCATTCTCCAGATGCATCGTTCACTAGCCACATGGAACCCTTTGCCAGCATGTGAGAGGCTTACTGTTGGAGGAGGAAAGTGTAATATACTCGCGCTCGGCAAACTCACTTGCTGGAGGACCGATAGGGTCTCCGGGTTTCGTATTTCAAGGACCCCCTTTAATGCCGGCTGTAGCGACAGCAAATATGGATATGAATATCCTATTGACTCTGGCGCTTGCTGCCATGGGATTTGCCTTTTTTCAAGTGGCTTTCCGGATGTATCTGTAAATAAGGAGTTGATATCCTTGGCCAACAATATTTCACCATCTCTAAGACGAGTGATGAGAGGCTTGGGCGTGTATCCGCCGAGGCCCATGTATCCCATACTGGTTGACCCAACACCCCCAAATCGGCCAACATCAGAAGCCCCAGGGCCTCCGATAGCTCCCGGTCCTACAATGTCCTCAATTTTCTGGCTAAGGATATCAACAATCACGTATCCAGTGTTCATACCACATATTATTTTTGTCGCAGATGCCCAACTCAGTGTACGAATAGCGGCAGCAAGAGTGATCTCGACAATGTCTGGGGACAGCTCCGATTCGTGCCATGACCACACGAGGAGTCGCCGTTTGACAGCAACACCTAGTCTAGATATGATCTCAGGTATTCCGGTGGTGGTATCCTTCACAATATTTGACGTGATCGCGAAGGTTGTGGCATTTTTAGTCTTCGGTAGTTGCTCCTGAAGCTCGTAGGTATTCAGGTCGTGGATGGAGACGACGTAGTTCGAAAGGGAAATAAGTATGTTGGCCTCTTTAATTCTTGACAGCTGCTCAATTGCCCTTGGTGAGAATTTCTCGAGCTCACGAAGGAGGTCTACCGGTTTTGCGGTCGAGGGCGCCGTAGGCTCCCCCGAACTGGGCCCCTCTCTATTGTGGTTTTGGACGTCGACTGTAGGCTCGTTCACCCGATATATTCGAAGGCTGCCAGTACTTAGTCCAGCTATTAACCTATCGCCTACCGATATGTTAGTAACGTATAGATTATGGGGTTGTTATCAGGTAGTCCCAACCATATGCGAGTATGGATTCGATTTTCGACTTATCTCGTGCCTTGAGCTCGACTATAGGCCGAGCTATAAAGGCGGATAGCATGGCGTTATGCCAGCCTTTAAACACTTGATATAGACGCCCAGCAGCACGATCATCGAAGGTATACGGTTATTGTTGCTGTATCATGGTGAATATGTTTCAGTGTTTATGGCGAGGCGCAAAGGTACACTCCTTATCGTTGGGAAGCTCCAATGACGTTGCCGAGGCGAATGGGGACGGCTGGCGAGACCCGCCATACGCTAAGCTCTACCATGCTACAGGCTCAAAACATCATCCTGTGCCAACATCTGGTTTCACCGAGACTTCAATAATAGATATTCTTGGAAAATAATATTAACCTGGCTATAGATCATGGCACTCGGGTGTTTTATTTGAATTTATTAGGTTTTCTGACTTGCAATAACATTACTTCTCATATCTTTTTGAACATATAAGAATATTACTACAAGACGGGCTGGATTGATGTATTTTCATTCAGCATGAGATACCAGTCCAGCTCGTTGGAATACTTTAGGGCGAGCCAAACTAATAATTGCTGGTCTTGAAAGGCTTAAAGTAAACAATTATCAAAAGCAATCAAATATCACGAGATGGAGTGTGGGACTCATAAACAATCAGATGGTATAAACGCGCCTAATCTCGAGTCAACCGCTCATGCTCAGATCTAAACCATGTTAACAGTGATGTTGCCACGCTACTAATCCATAACTATTGCGATGAGAGCGATGGGATATCTGCGCGTGTTCTCTCTTCGACCTGGCCCAAGTCCAGATGCAACCGATTATCCTTTCCATTTCCGCCAACGCCAGCTGTCTTGCCCAAGCCCATAGCAGCCCTAATCGGTGATATACAAAAAATATAAGCGCCAAGTAGCGACACCATCGCCATCCGTCTGAGCCAACCCAAACAAACAGAGACCAAATAAAACGCCTGCGCCGCACCTGTATATCAATCATTTGCCACATCTCCACAATCTCTAACAATGAGCCGCTACTGCCCATGAAGCTATTGCTCCCCGCGCTCTTACTTCGCCAGCACATCATGCAGGACCCCCTTTTTGTCTCTTTCCACCAATCCGAGGACTGGGCTTAACCTTGCTGCCAGTATTTGCTACCTGGCCTTGAGTTTGACCCCCAGCCTGACCCGCACCCCCTTGTTTTCCTGGTGGAGCGCCATTAACATGACTCATCTCCTCACTGGGCCTCCTGCGTTTGTTGCTGGTATTCGGACTTGTATTTGCAGACACCCCACTGCTACTTCCTTGATGGGACTGCTGTAATGCCATTGCTGTAGGCTGCATATTCCCCGACCCCATGTTCATATTCTGCATTGGGTTTGTACCATCTGGCAGCGAAATCTGAGCTGCCGCTGGGCTCGATAGTGTAAATGCGTTTAAAGATGGGGTCCTTGATCCCGGAGGGAGGGTAGATGGGTTTAGGGAAGCGGCCTGTGAGACGTGCGCAACGTATTGATCGAGGGCAGAGTAAGGAGCAAGAGACGAATGTTGATGCGAATAGGAGAAGAGGGGGTTCATCTGACCCATGACTTCTGCCAACTGCTTGTTCTTAGTACATGGTTGTAAACGTGAATTACGTCGACTTACCTCAAGGAAGCGGAAGACACTGGGTGTGATGCCCATATTCAATTTAACTTTTGAATCCGGGGTATCTATGTCTGGAGGTTGACTGGGTGGTGATTTCAACGGCCTTGCTTTCCCCTTCTTGTTAATTTCTGGAGATTGTTTACCATCAGCTGGCGCATTTTTTTTTTGCCAGTCTTTCTGCCATTCGTGGAGTAGCCGTGCTGCATCGACTACCTTGGTTCGTGGGAGGTACTCTTCGTGGTTGTTGGTTTCGAACTCTAATAGTTCAATCATCTGGTTGGCATCGAACTGAGCCTTCAGCTTTCCATTGGCAACCAACTAAACTTGATTAGACCCATAGGAACACCGAATTCAAGCCGATTTGTTTGCACTTACTTGTGAGCCGTTCTCGAACCAATAAATGAAACTCGACTTCTCACTCGAGATATAATTGCAGTGATTTGGGAGCTCCTTTTCGGTCCCCTTTTCCATAATCAACTGCATATTCTTCACCCCACTCTCAAAATGTGTACAAAAGTACCTCGCCAGCGCTGGAAAAGTGATCTCATACTGCTTCGTAGTTTGCTCGTCGACAATCCACACTGAATGGCGCAATACCCCTATAGGAGAGAAAAAAGTCTCCACAAAGTTGGTCCAGTAACTGAGATCGCTTTGTTGTTTAGTTGCCTGCGCGTTCAGTTTAATAAGTTGATTAAGTTAAATATATGGTTGATTTCCACTTACCACAAACTGACTGAGGTGATCGCCGAATTGCATCAGTCTCAGTAGGCATTGGCCTTTTAGCATTTGATTCCGTGGTCGAGCTTGCATCATTGCCGCCGCCGCTGCTGCTTGTTGGTGTTGTTGATGTTGGTGTTGTTGTTGTTGTTGCTGCTGCTGAGGTGGAGGTTGCTGCTGCTGTGCCGGAGGCTGCTGCTGTTGCTGCTGAGGTTGAGGCCCCTGTTGATTCTGTGGGGCTGGAGTTTGAGGTTGTTGGGCAGCAGCAGCTGCTGCTGCGGCTTGTTGTTGCTGCTGATGCTGTTGCTGCTGCTGTTGCTGTTGATGCTGTTGTTGTTGGTGCTGCTGGTGCTGCTGTTGCTGTTGATGCTGTTGCTGTTGCTGTTGCTGGTGTGCATGTTGTTGCTGCTGGGCTGCGGCTATTTGGAGATTTTGAAGTTGCTGGGGGTTCATTTGGCTTGGTTGGCCTTGACCTCCGCTGTGAGCCCCAGAGTTTTGCATCTGTTGCATGGCTAGGAGTTGCTATAGCACGAATATATGTTAGCTGTTACACTTAACTTTCTCGCAGTATGGAACAAGAACAGGTTACGTGCCTGGTGCTGTTGGTGCTGCTGCGCTTGGGCCTGCTGTTGTTCCATGGCTTGCGCCTGTTGCTGTTGTTGCTGAAGGTGCTGAGGGAGCGGAACCGGTTGCATCCCTCTCGGGACAGCCTGGCGCATTGCAGCAAATTGCACGGCATTTAACCCCGGGCTCATCCCGTTCACCATATTCATTGGCATGCCGCTATTATACTGCTGGGCCATAATCGCCTGTCGGGCCGCCTGGCGCGCTTGGTTCTGCTGCTGGAGAAGGTGCTGTTGTGCCATTTGCTGCATTTGGGGAGTGGCGACTGTGACGCACATTAGCTTGACACTCTTTCTCTGTGGTGACTTGTAGGGGAGTCGGGGTGTCTGGAAATCAAAGGGTACACGTACAGGCCATCTGCGGCTGTTGTTGTTGCTGTTGATACATGGCTTGGCTTGGTGTTAAATGCTGTAAAGCGTGCGCATTCGGTCCGCCAGGTCCGTTGACCCCCGGAGACATACCCGACATCATTGTCCCTGGTTGACTGACTTGTGGAACTCCTGGCCCAGAAACACCCATATGGAAGGTTTGTTGAGGCATTCCAGGACCTGGTGGACCGCCTTGCTGGATGTGCACTCCGGCCATCTGATGCCCCTGTGCAACTCCTGGATACTGTGGCAACCCAGTCGGATGTGGAGAGTACGATTGCGCGACGCTCGTCATCATTGTGGTTCCCACTGCGCGCCCGTGAACGGAGACCCTCTTGATGTCCTGAAGGTGATCTGACGATGCGAATAGATTAGCTCACGTGACATGTGGCTGGAGTGTCTCGGACCCGTTTGAATCGTTCCCATTCTGCCATGCTGGACTTGGCCATTTTGGCGAGAAATGGGAGAGCTGCGGAAACCGGAGTTCAGCTATGACCCGACAAGGGAAATTACTAGTAAATTGTATGTAATTCTCCCCATCCGGCCATACCCCCCACGGCGTTCCTTTGTAATCCCCCACGTGACGTAGAGCCGCCCTTTGTTCCCTCTGTAGAATACTGGCCTTTAATTAATTTTTCTACTCCAGTAAGTGCTTCGGAACAGGGCGAGCGAAGGGACTAACTTCTGTACGCTCCTAATTTGGGTGCGTACAGAAGTCACTTCTGTCGCAATATTTTAAAAAATTGCCAGGTAGATAGATGTGTTTGCTACTGTAGGTAGCTTAGTTACCCGTCAAACACCTACCGGCAATTTTTTGAATATTGCGACAGAAGTGACTTCTGTACGCACCCAAATTAGGAGCGTACAGAAGTACTACATGGAAAATCAAAATCGTGGCGTCAACCCGAAGAGTGTAGCAGTCGCAAAATGCACCTTCCTTACTGTAAAATTCCAAAGGTACTTAAATTTGTATGTAAATTGTATATAAAATGAAGTACCTAAAAAAATCGAAAAAATTAATCTTCCATTTGAAGCGCATTACCAACTGCCTGCATATAAATCTGCTCTGCCGAGAGCTGGAGTACAGTATTTGTAGCCTCAGATAATTGACCAAGCCACCACGCAACTAGCTCCTCAGATTGGGGCATTCCTACTAGATCTGCCTCAATTTTATAGAATCTAGACCTAATTAAGTCTAGATTCTCCTTTATCTCAAGCTTCTGATTGGCTAGAGCACGCTCCTCTGTAGTAGGTGCCTGAGGCACTACTAAATTTCCCATTGTCTCATATACCTCAAGGGGTTGTGAGGTCCGGCGCTCGGAGGAGCTCCTATTTCTCGCCAAAATGGCTAAGTCCAGCATGGCAGAATGGGAACGATTCAAACGGGTCCGAGTGTCTCCAGACGCCTAGTGATTTTTAAGCGAGTTTTGATGGGACCAAATATAAATCGCTATTGCCGCAGATAATTTTTCTTTCTACTACCACAACCAATTCCTACCTCTCTCAGCACCCAGCACCATAACTGGAACTGGATTTAAACATGTGAGGCCATCCAATCGTCGTCTGAGCTACGGGTATGTGATCTTTTTATACATCGCCCTTCCCTTTTTCCTTCTGATCTGGAATGATGAGAGCAATATTATATTGTCTTCTTTCCCAGAATTAATCGACCATGATTAAAACATTGGGTCTTCCAGACATGGTTGACCTGCTACTTGCCAGTACATTCTGTCTGACCCAGATCACAATTAATCTGCAATTGTTCAACCAAATCATCTTGTTTTGGCTTACCATCTAACTAACTTGGAAACAGTACAGTATTTTTCTATTGCGAATCCAAACTTGCTACGATCCTCGAGCAGTTTCACAAATTCATTTGAATGTACTCAATAAGAGCTGCATGCTCTTCTTGAGGATGTTTCCACACCAATCTGGGTGCTCTCGAATTCCATAATGGACGCAAAAGGTCAGTGATAAAAAAAAAATCTGTTATACTCCCTACCATGTCATGATGAAAACCGTACCACATTCGCAGTTTCTACTCGAGCTTCATTTGAACCTATTTCGAAGCAGATGAGGGGCATTTCTTCCTTGGATGTCTGAACATGAACAACATTACCATTGTTTCAAAAGTGTCATAGATGAATCAGTTTCACTAACAGCACAGTAGGCTTCTCGCTCTCTTTGCAGTTCACTGGTGGTTCATCTGCCACAGTGACGAAACTCCTTTCGAATACAGGTAGCGACGTTCTTTCGGTGTCATTTTCCTTATTTGTAAATTCCACTTGCCAAACACTCTGGCCCTTACCTCCTTTCCTTCGTGGATCGGTTCAACCTATGGTATAGGCCTATTTTTGCGTGCAAGAAGACCAATGCACAGATTACTCACCGCGACGTCCAGCCTTCGTGGCAAAATGGGCGTAAGAGGTCCTACATACTATTGTCAACATGATCCTTCTACCGTGAAAATTGCTGTCTCGGTTTCTCAACTGGAAACGTGAAGCGAGTTGTAAAATTATTTAGATTATCAACATGTTCACAATATTTTAATTGAATCTACTTTAAATAATATTGTGCAGCTTATGTAGTGATAACTTCAAAGTAGATTCAATAAATAATATTGTACAGCTTATGTAGTGATAACTTCATTGGTTTTCGCATTGAAATGATACATCCTTGCTCCCTTGCTTCTAAATATCACCATTGGTATTTCCCTCTCCCATGCTGGTCAGTCCGCTGACTAGTCCCAGCATTCGTCTGCCAAGCAGATCGTCTTCGCTTGCCAAGCTGACTGAAGAGCTCTTCTTGCGTGTCAATCTTCCCCTATCTCTACGTGTCCTCCTGCCCCTCGTTGCGCCCTCGTCCGATACCCCTCCCAAGGTCTCCTGGAGAAGGCGTTCCTTTAGTTCTTGCTCGGCCCTTAATTTCGCAGTCAATGGCATCCTCATTTCCAAGGCTTCGTCGCCAGAGGATTCGGTGCGATTGTGGTGATAGCCCGCGCCACCCCCCCTACCAAACCTAGCATCTCCGCCCTGGCGGCGCAAGCCCGTTGCTTTAACCCCAGAACTCACTGTGCTAGATGTGGTGGCTTTCATTTTTTCGTTTGTATCGGAAAGCTCGAAGAGCTCATCAATCCAGCGCGCGCAACGGAAGATGTGATTCCAGCCCTCAGGGAAGGCAGCAGCAAATTGCATAAAGCCATGTGAAATCCCGGGTATCAAGGCCACCTCTACCACGTCCCTGTCGTCGAATTCCTTTGCTAAATGCTCGCCCCTCTCCTTTTCCTTCTCGTAAGCTTCGGCCTTGGCTTTCCGCAACCGGCCTGCGAATATTACGGTGTCGTCGACCAAAGGATCGCGCTCGCCTGTGAGGAAGTATGTTTTTGGAAATCGAGCAAGTAATGCTGGCGGGGCAAGGGTGGGAGAAAGGTAGTAGTCATCGGCGAACGAAGGTCTGTTGTGGGGTCCAACGTAGAGCAATATCATGGATCTCATTGTTGCGGGGTCGAGGATACGGTCATTGATATAGGATATCATAGATGTAATCGCGAGACGGGTGCCTGGTGTCGGTGTTGGTGGCACCAGAGGTTCTTTGTTGGGATTGGGATGTTCGGGAAGTGAAGCAGAGCCTGGGATCGACCTAGGACGCACTTTAGGAGATAGAGCTGTAAAATCTTCGCCCTCGGAATGATGGGGGGTGCCAGCGAGATGGTTATATTGCATGCTCTTTAGTCGCAGCATGTCCCGGTTCGTCTTTCGCATCCGGCGGTCTTTGAAGAGAGACATATGCTCCTCGCTCATCCAATTGACAATATTGAAATCCAAGCCCGGATATATCAAGATGAGACCCTCGGGCATTGGCAGTGGAACTTCGCTGTCTGAGGAAATCGATCCAGAGTGCTCAATGATTTTGAGCACTGTTCCCGTTGCAAGGTTCCCCCCAGCACTGTCGCCGCAAATCACGATTTTTGGCATCACTTTTCCAGACAAACCGACAAGTCTACCACGGCTAGCGACGACCGCGCGATAGACATCGAAACATTCGTTAAGCGCATAAGGATATGGATACTCCGGTGCCTTTTTATAGTCCAAACTGAGCACTGGTAAGCCAGTTTTGCCAGCCCATGCGAATAGTTTATCATCATGGGCTCGTGGATCCATGGCGACAAATCCGCCACCAGGAACGTCAAGAACAATCTTGGTGTGGTCCTTGAGTGCACTCAGAGGCCCATCAAAATATAGCCATGCCTGCACTGGTTCTCCCCCTGGTCGTGGTATGCGTATTGCACGCGGTGGGTACTTCATAAGTCGTGGGCGTAACAATGCTGAGACAAATTTGAGGTACGGTGTGTTGCCCTTATTCCAGCTCACCCTGAGATGATCCAGTGTCAACATCCCTCTCACTTTCCTTACTTTCTCGTCCGCTCTCTCCGCCGCTATCAGATAGTATAATGAGAAGATGATGCTTGACAAGTCCCGGAGCCACTTCCTGCGGATGCGCATAGCAGTCCAGAACCCGGCATCGAGTGCGGTCGTCACCCATGTTGCACGGAAGTAAGAGCGAGTATAGAGGTTCGCAAGCGGCTCGGGGCATTCGAGATCGAGGAGAGAGTCGAAGTTGCGAGCGATGTACAGGTAAAGCAGCGTGATCATTACCGTTTGCCACGGGGTGAAAAGGCCAGAGCATGCCCGCGAGAGCTTGCGGAGTTTCGGAGGTCCATGCTTGTTTCCTCTTTCACGGTATTAGTATAGGAATAGAAACGGGGAATTGAGGCTCGAGGACTTACTTAGCGAGATAAAAAGACCAGAAAGAAACGACTACAAGCACATGGAATTTGCGAAACTGCACTGACGGCCGACCAAGGACGTGGTCAAATCGATGAGGTCAGCTTGAGGGTTCTCGAGTTTGCTTGTGAAGCTGGAGGCATACCAATCATACTGGCGACCGACTTCTCAATGAAGAAGGCAGCAGCCGTGCCTGGTTCTGCAGCTATACGTGGCGAAAGGAGGGAAGAAAAGAAGTTATTCCCTGCCCTGGCCGTAGGTTGACCTTGCAGTTATTCCATCAGAAAGGGCTACCCATAGCACAGCAAGCACAGCAGAGCATTTACTTTTTGTAGAGCCAGACAAGTTGGAAGTTTAGGCGATCGGCATGTGCATGAGTAGTGATGGCACTACTGAGGATAGCACTACTGAATATATGTTTATACTCCGTAGAGACCTCCGTATCTCCGTATACTCTTTCCTTAGTTGAACCGTTGTAGGCGGGTGGTTGGCAGTGGGGTCGTCATGAGACTGAGTTATAAGTAAGTTTGCATGTGATTGAGGGCCATTTCAAGCTTGGGACTAAGATCAGAGTGGAATAGGTCGGTGTATGTACTCCACCTCGTACCTCGCCCTTCACCGTTCATCGTTTTGTGGAGGTTCGACCCCATAGCACGTGACCATACGCCCAAAATACAGTCTCAGCCTCGCCAAACGGCCCGTCATTGCTACCCTAGCTTCCACCACTCGAGCGAGCCAAGAAAGTTTACACAACACCTCAGTTGCACCACACTGGGCCAACGCTTTGAAAATGGCAGACACACCACCAACGACGTCATCCCCAGGGGGCACCCCTTCTTCCAGCGCTTCCGAGCAAGCGCGTATTCGCCGAGAGCGCCGTGAGGCTAAAATAAAAGCTGGAGGGACGTCGAGGTTAAACAAAATCACAGGGCTCGGTGGTGGCTTACAACGAGGTTCGTTCACAACCTTGCTGGCAATGTTCAGCGCAACGTTCCATTTCTGACTGTGCCTCACAGATATAAAGCCTGCGGCTGCAGTACCCCAAGTAGCATCCGTCTCTCACGCGGACCCTGACGAAGTTGACATCAGCGAGCACTTTTACGAACCACCGCCGAATATCCGCCCCCAAAATGCTCCGCCGAACCCCAATCGTCCATATCCCGGCCTGTCATCGGATCCTAGTCAGTTGGATGACCAGGCTCTTCGAGCCATGATGCTCGGTTTCCCCCCGCCTAACGGAAGTTCTCAACCCCAATCCAACCCATTTGGTGGACCACCGAACCCGTTCGCGGCAATGGGCAACCCTGATGGCACCGGTGATCCGGCCAATGATCCCATGATGGCTATGCTGCAACAGATGATGGGAGGTGAGCCAGGAGCTATGCCATCCTTCCCTGGCCTACCACCTATGGGGTTTCCTGGGAACGATGCCAACGGAGCACCGGCAGTAAAGACATCCGCTTATATATGGCGCATCGTTCATGCCATATTTGCCTTGGGATTTGGCCTATACATCGCCTTTACTACAGAGTTTGGTAGAAAAGCTGACCGTCTGAATGGCATGGAAAGTGAGATAATAGATCTGAGAGCATTTTACGTGTTCGCAACAGTGGAAGCGATACTGCAAGGAACTCGGTTTATCTTCGACAGAGGACAAGACAGCCAAACTGGAATTATAGGGACGGTTTTGCGGTTCTTGCCCCAGCCATTTGGAGGATATCTTCGGATGTTTATGAACTATCGAAGTATCTGGACTACGACAAGTGCCGATACCTTGGTTGTGGTGTTTGTTCTCGTGGCTGCTAACCATTGGAGAATCTCCAACGAGGATGGTAGCGGGCTTTTCGGCAGCACTCATGGTATCAAATTAGCCTAAAAAAAATTGGTTAATAAGGCTCACAGAGGACATGTTTGAATATTTTATGTGCACTGTATTCGCATCGTAGTTTATTATTTTGTCGTTTAAAAGGGTTAATATGTCAGATAAGTTGCCAACTTGCATCTCAAGTTGAGCGAGCAAGTTAACATAACGTAGAGTACAGTCAACTCCCGTTAAGTTGATACAATTGGTGACACGTGTAAATATCGTAAAAGTGAAAATATCGTTATATTGAAGGGCAAAAGGTTTATATACCCTGCATTTGACGTGATAAGTTTTATATACCCTACATAATATGAAACCCCCTGCGACCAGTAAAAACCCCCCAATTCCCCCCCCGTAGCCTCCCGTAGCCCCCTCGCCGTCGCCCCCTCGCTGTCGCTCCTTTCGACGGCCTCATTCGGCCCAGTCGTAAGGACTCTCGACCAGGCGTCTAGGTCGAGGTAGAGCTGACCGTTCATAGGAACGGTCAGCTCGCCAAGAGAAGCCATCCTCGTGGGCCTGAGCCGAGCTCAGGACTTCCGATGCCTCGCGACGAGGGCTTCCGAAGAGTCGTCGAGTGCCTCAGTGAGGGCAGCGGCTAGCGAGTCAGCTGGGACAGCGAGGAGGGCGACGGCGAGGGGGAGCAACCGCGAGGGAGGCAACGCGAGGGAGGGAGGCAACGCGCCGAGCGCGTTGAGTGGTTTCCTGCTTAGTAAGAATCACCATGGTATATAAAACTTATTTATGAACTTACCGGGTATATAAAACTTTTGCCCTACTCTATCCCTGCACCTCTGGGGAAAAGGAATTGAACCAATCACAGTCATCCGTTTCTAATCTCCACCACAAAATAAGCGGGTCTCCTGCTCGATAACGTCATATCTGGGCTTTTTTATGGCTTTTATGGATCTTATCGCTTTATCTTGACCCTTGTGACCATTGGATGTATTAAAGTGGGTCTCTATTCCCTAGCTTCGGCCACACTTCCCGTGTTCCCGTGCCTCAAAAGATACTTTTGGTTATCCAAGCGCGCTGCAATCCACTACGGTAGCCGCCGTACCACTACTACTAAGATTACTGAAGCTCGTCCCGATTGTCTACAGTCAACAACAACCTCCTCTTGGTCCCATCGCTGTCGCCTTCAATCCTCATCGCCGTGTGCATCTCTGCTGCTTCATCAGTCACTATACCCATACGCCACCACTGCGCACTCTGTCGATGTCTGTCCGCCCTCGGTCTCCCGCTCTACACTCGCAGCATACGCTATCCGACCCTCTTTTGAGTTCGCCCCGTCCGTCGAACCCGCGTTGAGTCTCCCGCAAGGCTCTCATGCCCAAGCGGTGACTGAGAAGCGTCAGCACACGCCGTCTCCGCTCTCGAACTCTCCGTGTATCATCATTTATCGGGATTGTATATACACGGACATCGCATACTTCACTCCCCGCACTTGCCACAATCAGACACTCTATCGCCACTCTCCTCGACCGTCCACCTACTGCCTCCAGCTTCATATGAGTAAACCACCAGCCACCTCACGACTCCACCGCTCACACGACCTCCTAATCACCCCTCCGCCACCATGCGGGGCCTCCTACTCAACCACTCCGACCCCAAAGAGGGCTCCAGCCACTCCCTGACCTCCAACTCCCCCGGCTTCTACGACACCCCCGCCTCCTTCAACGGCGAGCCCTTCTACGAGAAAACCCGCCGCCGCTCCTTCCCCCACCAATTCATCGACAGCTTCCGCCGCGACCCGAACCGCCACATCATCAACCCCCTCGGCGATGTCGATCACCAGGACTGGGTCTACGACCCGAACCAGGCCATATTGAGGACCGCGAACACCAGACTGGCTAGGAAGCTGAAGGGCAGGCATCTGCAGATGATTGCTATTGGTGGGTGTATTGGGACGGGGCTGTTTGTTGCGTCTGGGCGCTCGCTCAATGCCGGCGGCCCTGCGTCGTTGCTTATCTCGTTCTTGTTGACGGGGTGTATGCTTTACTGCACGGTTCACGCGCTGGGCGAGATGGCTGTGTTATATCCCGTTTCAGGGTCTTTCTCGGCGTACTCGTCTAGATTTCTCGACCCGGCTTGGGGATTTGCTATGGGCTGGAAGTGAGTCGACTCCTATTCGATAATGATGAGTTTTACTGATTGAAGCAGCTATGCCATGCAATGGCTTATTATTCTTCCCGTGGAAATTATTGCAGCTACTATAACGATAGAGTATTGGAATAAGAGTATCAACCCCTCAGTATTTGTTACGGTGTTCCTGCTGCTCATCATTTCGATCAATCTATTTGGCGTCAAAGGCTACGGAGAAGCTGAATTCTTCTTCTCGATCGTCAAAGTCGTCGCAATAATCGGCTTCATCCTGCTGGGCATCATCATCAACTGTGTTGGTGGACCCACCACCGGCTACATTGGTGGCAAGTTCTGGGTCGACCCCGGACCCTTCCATGCCGGTTTCAAGGGCCTCTGCTCTGTCTTCGTCAACGCTGCCTTCGCCTTCGCTGGCACCGAACTCGTCGGACTCGGCGCGGCCGAGACAGCAAACCCCCGAAAATCGCTCCCCACAGCCATCAAGCAGGTCTTCTGGCGCATCACCCTCTTCTACATCGTCAGCCTGACCCTCGTCGGCCTCCTCGTCCCCTACAACGACACCCGCCTCCTCACCAGCAGCCAAAGCCGCGGCAACAGCGCCTCCAGCCCCTTCGTCATCGCCATTGAAGACGCCGGAATCGCCGTCCTCCCCTCGGTAATGAACGCCGTAATCCTCATCGCCGTCCTCTCCGTCGGCAACTCCTCCGTCTTCGGCTCCTCACGCACCCTCGCCGCCCTCGCCGACCAGGGCCAAGCACCCAAGATCCTCGGCTACGTAGACCGCAAGGGCCGCCCTTTCGTCGCTATCTGCGTCTCCTCCGCTCTCGGATTCATCGCGTACGCTGCTAACTCCGATCAGCAGAACGCGGTTCTGAATTGGATGCTTGCTCTCTCGGGACTCAGCTCGATCTTCACTTGGGCCTCCATATGCCTCGCGCACATCCGCTTCCGCCGCGCCTGGCGCATCCAGGGGCGCTCGCTCGACGAGCTGGCGTTCGTCTCGCAGCCGGGGGTCGTGGGTAGCTGGATCGGATTCATCTTCAACTGCCTCGTGCTCATGGCGCATTTCTGGACCGGGGCGTGGCCAGTGGGCTACGGTAACATGACGATGGGAGCGCAGGTGCGGAATTTCTTCGTGGGGTACCTGGCGGCGCCGATTGTGATTGTCATGTTTGTGGGGTATAAGTGGTGGTATAAGACAAAGGTGTGGAGGTGTCATGAGATGGACCTTCAGACGGGGATTAGGGAGTTGAATTTGGCGGAGATGTTGAAGGTGGAACGGGCGGAGAGGGCGGAGTGGCCGAAGTGGAAGAGGTATTATCATGTTATTTGCTGAAGGACCCCCCCAAAGGGGGTTTGGCATGGATTTTTATGGCTTATGTTTTATTGGGGTGGAAGCGATACTTTTTGGGGGGCGTGGTCGGGGCCGGTAAACGGCGTTCAGGGTAGGGAATAATCGTTGGTTCTCAAACCACCGCCTGGAGGCGGTTGGCGAAAGCGAACTGGGACGCGAAAGCGATTATGGGACACTTCCGGAGCGGACTCGCGACGCGACCGACCATTAACACGACTGACAACGAGCACAACTACAACCACAACTATGCCGGTAGTTCAAATGAATAAAAATGAAGCTCTTTTAAATGCCATTGAATTTTTAAATGGAAACCCAACAGAGAAGAGTGCTACAGTAGCACGGATGTACAGAGTAAACCCAAGTACACTCCGGACTATACGACTACGACAACGACGCGCATCACCACAACGCACCGCTGTGCCACGCGGAGGCCAGAACAGAGTGCTGTCTGATGTACAAGTTACAGCTATACAAAGATATATCCAACGCTCATACGAAAATGGGTACGGTGCAACTAAGCCTATGGTGTTCAGTGCCATCTGCCAACTACGTGCAGCAGAAACTCCAACGCGTGCACCACCGTCACAACGGTGGTTCCAGACATGGATTAAGACACAACAACACAACTTCCATACAATAAAAACCTGGCCAATTGAAGCAGCACGGGTTGCATCTCATGAAGTATCAGCTATTAAAGAATAGTTTTATGAATTTAAAGATGTGTGTAATCAACTAGATATTACTGCGGGTGATATCTACAACTTTGATGAAGTTGGATTCCATGTAGGAATGAGCACTGGTGAACATGTGTTGGTACCATCTACAGTAAAGGAGGTAAGTTGTTTCTAATATTTATAGCTTTGTTACAAGCTCCAGAGAACAGACAAGGTCTTACAGTTATAGAGACAATTGCAGCTGCTGGCATTGCACTTCCACCGTTCCTTATTATACAAGGAAAATTACACATGGAAAGTTGGTACCATGACAATCTACACAGTGATGAGAAAGTTGCAGTATCCGATTCTGGATATACAAACTCTGAGCTTGCAATGGAATATTTACAGCATTTTATTCAACATACACTGTCTATAAGAACAAAATTGTTAATAATGGACTCTCATATCTCACATGAAGTTCCAGAGTTTATAATACTTGCACATCAACACAATATACACTTACATGTGTTTCCGTCTCATCTTACGCATATTCTACAACCACTAGATGTTACTGTGTTAATATAAACATTGGCACCAACTTGTAACTCAACAAGCAATCCATAATTTTGATACAGATTATAATGTTATATCTTTCTTTAGAGACTTGTCTACTATCCATAAGCAGACATTTACAAAGGGTAACTGTATGAAGTCTTTTAGAGATGCAGGTATTTGGCCACCTAACTATGAAAAGATTCAAGAGAAGGTTGCTATATATGCAAAACCAGAAGTTTTAGAAACACCACAACGCGCATTTCAAGCAAGTTATGATCTTTCAACATGGAGTCAAACATTTGATAAGATCCTTAGTTCACCGTCACGGCAAAAGTGGGCGCCTCCTTATACTGAAATCCAAACTCAATTAACAGAGGCTGAGCTGTTCCGGTCAGAGCTTGTACAAATTACTACTATTATGACTGAGCAACGACAGCAGAAGGTTAGAAGTCGGAAATCTATTCAAAAAGGTGGTGCTATTACAGTTGAACATGCACGGCAAAGGATTTATGAGAAGAAGGTAAAGGAGCAACTTTTAGAAGAAGCACGGGAGAAAAGAGAGAGAACACGCATGGTGAACATTGAGCGTAAGATGCAGCTCCATGCTGGCATCAATGCACAGAAGGCAGAACGTACATGGAAAAAGGACCTACATGAATTTCAAAAAAGTAACCCAGACACGGAGCCACCAATTGGCTTACGTACAGAAATCATTGACCTGGACGTTACACAGAAGAAATGTAAGGAGAAGGAGGAGGAGGACTGGCTGTTAGCTGTCACGGTTCACCAAGGCATAGGGCGCCAGTTGGGTATTATGAATTAAACTCAATCTAGAGAAGGAAGGAAAGAGAAGAGGAGCACTCGAGCAGTGGCTCGATCTATATACAGCTATGTTGTTGTGGAGTAAATTCTCTTTAGCGAGACCAGTTCTTGTAAGGACACAGGGCACCCAGCTCACAGTAATAGCATATGAGAGTGCGAGTCAGAGGCTAAACGGATGCTATCCTATAGGTCTACTACGAAGGATACAAAAAAGATGATGGGGGAACCCCGTCAGTCGATTTTCTCAAGTATCCGAAACCCATCTGACTCGGTTCCGACTCGGTTAGGCCACCCAAATGATCACACGTGACCCCGCAGCTACCCGGAGTCTACTCCCTAGAATGAGAGACGAGAAGGCATCCTTACACTACCCCCCTCCTGAGAGAGTGCTTTGTCCGCAAGGCACGCGGCTAGTATCATGTCCGCAACGTCTCCGAATCGTCTCCGTATCGTCTCCGTGAACGGAGCGTTTCTTGTTATCATAATGTTGGCTGGTAATTGCGTCCGGAACAACTTCGTTTGTCGTGTGTGTCGGGAAGGTGCTTTGTTTGCCACCGTAGTCATCCCGAGGTGGTATCGCGTTAGGGTCCGTGTGGCATGCGAAACTGGAGTTCGCTTTTGTTGGATCTCACGTTCGTTCTTGGGGTCCGAAACAGTACCGGAAGGTGTCCGCTACCCGTTTGAGTAGAATTTTTGTAAAACGTGAAAGAAGAAGTGGCTGCGCTAACCCGATTCGGCGTTCATTGTTGTAAGCCAACATTTGAGTATTCCGCTTCGCCCACTTCCTCTTGTTTTTACCTTACAACAACAACGCCAGCAACCCTCCCACCCGAGACCGGTAAGTGGCCCCTCCCTGTCCGTTTGTTTATGATACTGATAGATTGTATAGTATACTCCAATCCAAAGAACAAGTAGGTGATGGGAGCGCGTTGGCGCAGTGTTGATAACTTGTGCTGGGCTGACGGAATCACAGATTCCAAATTTGAAGATGCCGGTTCCCACCCCCCTCCGGGGCTCTTACTGTCGCCTTCCATGTGCTCTGTTTGCACTGCCTTCAGGCCAAAGCCCGTGGGATCCAGTCCCACGACTGCGTCTGGTCCCCGACCAGTTCAAAGTGTGGGTACTGCACGTCGCAGCACTCGCCTTGCGTCCCGGTAGGTTTTCTTGTGGGGTTCGGAGTTTGGTTTTTGGTTGGCCGTTGCTGACTTTGGTGAAAGCTGCCCTGGTTCCTTGGGGAAGAATTTGCGGCCCTCCTGGCCACCCAGAGCGTGACCTCTACGAGGAGGCACGCGCCACTCGGGCTGCCCTCGAGTTGGGGCTGGCCGTGAGTAGACCCCCTTCCCCTTGTGACTCGGTGTGGTTCCGATGCTGACTCTGGGCAGCAAATTCGGTCGTCGCTGCGCCGTCTCCGGACGGAACAGGAGAGCGTTCCTGCTCTCTTGGGGGAGTTGGTGGCTGCTGTGGGCAAACTGCCCACCGCTGCCGCTCCCGCGGTCGCTCCGACTCAGGGTGATGGAAGGAGGGAGGGGGAGGATGGGGAAGTTGGGGCGGCCTATGGGGCCTAGGTGGGGGAAGACCTTGTGTCGGAGGGGACTCGGGCCTGGCCCTTCGCGTGGGGTCACTTCGACCCTTCGTCTCTCATGGTGGTAGCCGCTTGTTGCGACGCCGGTGAGACGTTTGGGAAGGGTGGCTCCTGCAAGGGTTACGCTGGTGAGTGCGCCCTGGCTCGGAGGGTATTTTAGTTTAGAGTCGCAGACAGCAACGACTCTGTTTCTTCCGCTTTGTCTTTCCCTCCGTGATCGTAGTTTTGTTCCTTTCCCGTCTCCCCTGCCGTAACCCCTCCGAGTAGTTCTTGAGGTGGACCTGGTAAATCTGGGTATTCCGTATGAAACTCTCTGAGTTTCTGGGGAGAGTTCATGAAGTTTGACGCTGGGTACCACTCCGGGTCCAGATCGTATCCGACCCAACTAACCCTGTATTGTAGTTGCTTCCGGTGGAGCCTTACGGCGAGGATCTTTTCCACTTCCCATTCCTCTATGCCATCTATCACTTCGCTGCTAGGCTCAGGCGGATCCTGACCAGGTAGGGGGTTGTTCGGATCCTTCATGAGGACATCTGGTGAGAACACATTGTGTATTTGAGAACCGGTAGGTAGTTCCAATCAAAACGCGTGCCCAATCCATTCCAGCACCGTATATGGTCTGACCCATTATTGGCCCAACTTGCGGCTAGGGTGAGAGTTTTTCAAATTTTTGGTCAATAGTGTAACGCTGACTTCTAAATGATAGAAGACACAGAGGTTCTCTTGCGTAAAGGTTTACTTATCAGAGGAGGCAGGGGATCAGACACAGAGGCTTCAAGTAACACGTTACTAGTATATAACAAATACTGTATTGAGTTGAGCACGAAGCTCCTATCTAAGGAAATACTATCTACTTATATAGTGGCGTCGTGCCTAGTGGACTCCTGGGAACTCACTCGAGTCCTCGGAGTCCTGGACTCTTAGGATTCTTCTCATCATCCTGCGAGTCCGTCACGTGCCTAGTGGACTCCTGGGAACTTACTCGAGTCCTCGGAGTCCTGGACTCTTAGGACTCTTCTCATCATCCTGCGAGTCCGTCACGTGATACTTTCGGAACTACTATTCCCCGCTGCCCCTCCAGGTAACAGGGCCGGTCTCATGCGACCTCCCTCCTTCCTGTCCTGTAGTTGGCCAGCCTTCTTGTTCCGTCGTAACAAATAGGTACACTCTATTCCCTACGTCCCAGTTGATGGCACTTCGGCGTCGATTCGTGTGCTTAGACATTTTCTCTTGTGCCTTTGCCATGTTTTCCTTTGCGTGGACCCATGCGGTATGCATTCGGTCTGCAACCGCCTTGGCTTCCTCAAAGACGGTTTTCCATACTGTCTTTGATTTTGCTAATTAGGGTGACACGATTCTCATTTGTCATACTGGCCACTCGAACTTGGCCGAGAGCTACCACACATAGTAGAACAAATTGAGGACTGGAGTTACCGAGGACGTTGTATAAAAATTCTTTATAACGTTTTGTTTTTCCAGAAGGTTGTGCCGTTTGTAACATCTCAACAGCCTCTGAAGTGCGTAGTGCCTCTGCATCGCTCAACCTTCCGAGTACTGAGAGGTTCTTGCTAGCGCCAGCAAGCCTATCCCAAGCCTCTTCGGTATCGAGTGGCTTGTAACGAGAATGCTTTTCCATCACGCCAAGGCGATGATTGAAAGGGCTGGGAGTTCCGATGGAACATAGGGACTGATGGTAGATCGATGGTAGATTGATGACATCAAATGCCAGCAATCTTCCCTTTTTAAAGGGAAGATTGCTGGCATTTGATGGTGATCTTGAGCTGATGGTGCCCTTCAAAAGAAGTTGAGAGGACGATGGTGGTTTAATGAGGGATAGTCCGATGAAAGTTTGGGATTACAGACGTTAGGTTGATGGTAGATTGATGGAGATAATGTGGGAGATTGTGTATATGCCAATAAGAGAACACGTGCCACTAGCGCGTCCAATCATATTACACGAGCCATGAACAATGGGTATCGCATCGTATCCGCACCCTAGAGCGCTTCTTACTGTACGAGAACTACATGGTTTAGACGCTTTCCCCAACGTTCTTACATCCAAATGCAATGAATGTCTCCCTTCAATTGTGCCGCTATTCCTGTGCTGATGCGCCCTGCTGCAACTATGGGCTGCAGGTTCGTCAAGCAGATCTTAGAAATCTAGCCTGAAAACTCTCAGTCTCACATCAATCCTGCACAAGGCTGCACGATAAATCGGTCTCGCCAGCATCTTCCCCAACACTGTCTTGGAGATATGTGCTTCTCTCCGCGTTGTTTGTATGCACCCTTGGACCTTTTTGATTTTTGGATTTCATGATGCTGCAACCGTAGGCTGCTGGTGATCCTGAACGAAGAAGGACCAGCTTCCCTCACCCCCCCCAACCGTTGTTGGTTTACAGGGGGGTTTGGTCTTCAATTGACACGGGCAAAGAATTGAGAAATATATAAGGGCGTGCGATTCCCCAGAAGTTCAATCACAACCTCTGCAGTCTTCAAATCGTCACTCATCTTTAAGCTTCTTACTTTTGTCTATATCTCCCACCACGCATATCAAGCCAGCTGCCAACACTCCACTCTGATCATGGCTCCAACAGAGAATTCAAATCGGCCTTTCGCAGTGCAATCCAAGGCCAGCCACCCCACCCAGTTCCCCGACGATGAGCGATGAGGATGCTAGTGAGATTCTCGCCGCTATGAAAATGCACCCCACGTCTCCAGACCCTCATCGGTCTGAATTGTTGTCTTTCGCCCAACAGTTCTTGGACATTGTCAAGTCTCTCAATTCCGCGCAGAGCGCCCCCGCAGTGCCTGCTGCCGCAAACGACGTTGAAGCCAAAGACCCTCCAGCTCGGGCTTCCAAGCTTGAATTTAAAGCGGTCAATGAAGTGTTAGTCTTCGTAGCAAGTCCAATCTTGAAGGAGCTAACACCGTTTATGCAGTTGGGACGCCAAGGCATACAAGTATAAGGTCGTAGAATCAGTCACGCCAACGGATGAAGCAGATGAACTGAATCAATATGTGTTTGTGGTTCGTGGACGAATTGGTTAGTTTCTCAGCCCACAGTGGAATCCACCTACTTACAAATATATCCCAGACAAGGATACGAAAATCACATACCATGTTGATATCAAGTCAGAGATGTTGCGAGATGCATTGAGAAACGTCTTAAAAGATGCCCACGCAGTCAGTACAAAGGAGAACAATCTTTCGGTGAGTCCATACGGTCTACGTCTACCATGCAAATTCGACTGCTGACACGCGCGCAGGTTGAGCAAAATCTCTTGTATCACTACATCCCCGAGCTTGAAACATGCCGAAACTGGAATGGCATCGATTTCCAGGACCAAGCTAGCGCGACGCACGTCAGTCTTCTTCTCAACTACCTGAAGGAGAAGTATCCAGAACTCAAGTCACTTCTCAAGACCGGCGAGATCACATATGACATGCTCTGGGCACTGTTCAGACCGAACGGACCAGTATTCACCACCTGCCACGGAACCCACAAGCCGCGTTGCGTGAGATTCGATTTCGGTGAGGAGAAGAAAACCAACTCTGGGTTCATATACTGGAAACTCGAGTGTCGATATCTCGATTTTGATGGGAAAGAATATGGAAACGTACCAATCGAGCTAGGGATCCCTAAATTTCGCGGAACGAAACGAATAAACCTCCTTGAAACGTTTCCGCTCCAGCATCACCCGGACTCTATTAAGGTAAAGGCTAACCTTATTGAGAATGGTCGGAAGTTCATGTCCCTAAATGGATCCCACCATCGCAAGTACAACGGCCTGGCCTTCTTCATGGATGACGGCGTCCCTGTGGAGTTTAATGTCGATGGCCGAGTTATGATTGATGCAAAGTTCTTTCAAAAGATCAATCCCAACTATTCCCGACTAAAGATCACCGAGCCAATCAATTCACTGGCAGAAATTGATCTATTTAATAACTGGATTGACATTTCCAACATTTGTGATCCTGCAAGGGAGCCAGCCGTCTGGTCCAGTTACAAGCAGTAGTACTGTTGACCCAGCCGACGTGTCCGAGGACGACTTTTTGATTTGCTGTCCCACGGTACGAGGGTTCAGCTTTGCAGACAAGCAGTGGGGTAAGAGTACCTTTTTCAAGAACGAATTATTGCAAACTAACTATAAACTACAGCTGAATTTGCAGTGGCTGACCTCGACGAAATCCAGTGGTCCTCTGATCCTTTCGATTGTTTGGTGATTAAGGATGAGGACAGAGAGGTGATCATGGCCTTGTGGAGGCTCGCAATGGTCAAGCCACCAAGAGTCGGATTTCTCATTCGATGACTTCGTTTCAGGAAAGGGGCGAGGCCTCAACATTCTCTTACAGTATGATGGCTCACTCCCCACCTTATCACATGCGCTAACTCTCCATTAAGTGGCAACCCTGGGCTCGGAAAGACCTTGACAGCTGAAGCCGCAGCCGAGCATCTAAAGAGGCCGCTGTATTCGGTACGGTGCCTAATCCCATATCGCATTAAGATGTGACTATTTAGATTTCTGCTGGAGAGTTAAGTACCGATGCTGCAAAGTTGGAAGCACAGCTTAGTCAGATCTTTCAGATCGCAAAGAACTGGGGTGCTGTTCTTCTCCTAGATGAAGCCGACGTTTACTTCGAGCGACGGTCAAACCATGACCTGATCCGTAACAGTCTGGTTGCGGTATTCCTCCGCAAGCTAAAATATTGCGAGGGTATCATGTTTTTGACAACGAATCGCGTCTCGCAATTCGACGAAGCAATCCTCAGCCGGGTACATATCACATTGAGATACGATGACCTGGACAAAGATACCAAGGAACAGATATGGAAGCAATTCCTTGATCGGGCCAACACCAGTCAAAGTCCCACCAATGTTAGTCGGTCGGAGCTGAAGAGCTTGACTGCAGGCAAATACAATGGCCGCCAGGTAAGAACCCATACAAAATCTCCCCTAATGTCTGTCTTATGCTCACTATGTTTTCTACAGATCAAGAACATTGTCGCAACAGCCCATGCTTTGGCGACGAAGCAAAGGTGCTGCATACGTTTCGCACACCTTCAAAGGGCTGTCGCAATTAATGAGAGATTTGTGCAGGAGTTCTATGTAGTGTGCGTCACGGGGGACCTACCCCATCGGTCCCCCGACCCCAGACCGGACCATGGTCCGGTCCGGTCTGAAGCTCATAACCCACGGTTCCCCATCGGTCTGCCAAGAAACCGGTCACGGGACTAGGGTTGGTTAACAATCACGTGTAGATAATACGTATAATGACTTATTTTCCATGTGCAATTTGTAGTAGATGGCAATTACTATAATTATTGCTATAGATCTATATTACGCCATGACCCCTGAATTTCCCGACCAGACCGAGACTTATTACGGACTTGGCTCAACTCAATTGTTTCAACTACTTCCCCCTGAGGCAACTGGGCCCTATTGTCATTCTATGGCCTTGCAAGTGAAGGTAGGGTGTAATCACACCCGTCTTGGCTTGGGGGTAGCCCCTCTAAATCTTCTAGCTCCGGGTCAATTAAGTCAAATGTTGATGTATTAGCCTGACTTTGGTAACGAACTTGGCGGCGTTGCCCTCAGTGCTGGGGCTGTAATCACTGTACCCTTGGTAACGTATAAAGGCCTCGTTGTGATTGAATAAAATCAAACCAGTCTTGGTTCCGCTTTGTCCTATCACAGGTATTTGGCTGCCTTGGGTTACAGTTTGGAATATACTGTAGCATCATCTTCTCTTGGATATTATCAATTAGATATTCAAACAATATTTCCTCATCATTCACATAAGTTGAATCAATGATATCTGCAACAGAGTAGTGTTCAAATAGCTGTTCCTGTTCAATTTTCTGGCGGTAGAAGACAAGCATGAAGGATCTTGGCCATTGCCTCCTCCTCCTCTTCCTACAAACGGCGCTCTTTGCATTCAAGCTTGTCCTAGTCTCTAATAGAGGGACCACTAGTCAACCTTACGCAAGAAACCTCTATGTCTTCTATCATCTAGAAGTCAGCATTACAGGATGGCCCCTAGATGTCGCTATGTATCCTGTTAAGGGGGGCCATCACATGCTCTAATGCCTTCTGATTAATAACCTACATACTCTTATTAAGCAGGCACTCTCTACACGGGTCCGCAAGGTTACCGTCAACCATGGTGTAAGCCAGTCTTAGACTCCTTGAGCTTAGGTGTCTAAAGCGCTAGTGCTAAAGCATGGCTTCTTTTGGTAACATCGCCACTATGCGCAACGTAGTGATGGCGCTTTCCTAGGTGCTGCTAAGGATGTAGGAGGGCCTGATTTAATTAGCTACGCTAACGACTTGCCCCCTAAGCTCTAGGAGCATCTTGCTGCCACTAGTTGTCCTTGTCATGATACCCCTATCCTAGAGGTAGGGGACCGAGATGAGGCTTCTAGTGAGCTTCAGTACATATAGTACCTTGTAGAGCTAGATACGGCACCTGTTGCCCTTAACAGCTATTTCGAAGCTAACAGCTCCTTTAGCAATGGCCTGGATTTCCATCCTGTTTGCTAGTCTAACTAGAATCGGCTTGTCTAGGATGGTATAGCTGACAAACGCCTCTTTAGCATACGTCATATAGCAAGAGCAGCCTAAATCCATGATCTAAATCCTACTTTAGGCCTGCCTGTCACTAACCTAGCATGTATCAACACTACAGAAGTCATTGATCATGGCGATCCAGGACGTCTTGGTGACAGGGGCAGCCTAGATGTAGGCTGTGTTCGCCCCCTCTAGTAGAGGCAGTGACAACCCCTTTCTACTGCTAGGGGCAGCAAGGGGTCTAGTCAACTGCCCTGCCATCTTTGGCTCTCCTCTCTTCTTTGCGTTATAGTCCTGGCGAATATATCTAGTCTTCCTACAGTGGTAACACGTATAGGTGTCCTTCTAAGAGGATTTGTCTCTGTCACCCCATCTACTGTCTTTGCCCCTCATATCTCTAGTATCTATAGAGGCTTGCTAGGCAGATTTGGTGACAGGCTTTAAAGCCTTAGTCTGCTCCTCGATATCGACAAACTAGCCGATGATATCTTGGTAATCCGTGATTTTTGCCACCCTAATCTAGGTGCTAGCAATGTCATATTTGCTGCTACGGCTTCTTATAATCACTAGGAGCCAGCTGACCTTCCTTAGTCTGAGGGCCTGTCTTCTAGCTCTATTGCTACGATACCGTCCTAGAGCTGGTTTAGCATCATAGCGACATCAAACACCAGTGTAGTCGCTAGCGGAAGGTAGCTACTAAAGGCCTCATTTTTCGAGTCTAGCTGCTACAGCCCGTCGTAAGCATGCACTTAAGCTTGTCCTAGACCTCTCTGGCTGTTATGAGATAACCCAGTTGACAATCAACGGGATACAGCTTTCTAGAATGATTCTTCTAGCTCAATTGTCACAGAAGAAGGCGAGCTGCTCCTTACAGACAGTTACGACTCTGTAGTCTCTTCCTTTTTGGGCTTATCGAGCTTATATTCGAGCATAGCGTTGATGGCACTCTAGACTTTCCTGTCAATAAGCTCGATCTAGATTTAGAGAGCCCAATTTCAATAGTTAGACCAGACTGAGACTGCTCAATGTGTTCTAACTCCATTTTTGTGAGCCGTTATCACTTTCCGGCTTATGGAGCTGAACCGCCACAGCTAAGTCAATGGTTTACTTTACAGGCTTCTTTCAGCGAGTAGCTTAGACTCTCACTTTTTTGATGTGAGACTTCAGAATCAATTCCTTGGTTCAAATACAAAGCTTCCTAAGTGTCGCTAGGCTCATAACCTGTTAGGAGAGGGACCGAGATATTATGACAATCGTGTGATGTTTTGGTGACTAGGCCTTCAGCTTTTGTGCAATGGGCAGGAAAACTTGACAGTAGACTACAGTATATAGAATGAATGGATTGAATTGAATTACTACCCTACTAATGGAGCCTACATATTATTTATGTTATTTAGAGGGCCTACCTAAACACCCTAAGTAACAGAAGGGTTTGGGCCTAAAACCTAATAGAGCAATTTAGCAACTGTTACTGTTACACTTTTAGCGTGTAACAGTAACATATTTGGTAAGGCGTACCTAATGCCAAGGTGCCTACTCTAGCCCTACATGCCCAAATAGGAAAGGGGACTGTCACACTATAACAGAACTCTGTCGCACTATGACAGAGCCATTTCTAGCCTAGTAAATTAGTAGTGTAGTTAGCCATAATCAACAATTTGAACAACATCCTATGCTTGAAATAGGTGAATACTGTATATTACTCTATAATAACTATAGAAGCTAAACCTCACAGCATCTAGCAAACTGCCTAGCTTGCTATGCGGATAGCAAGCCAACTCTCTAAACTTATTAGAGAGTCTATTAAGAGCCCTAGCCCTGGCCTCAACCGGCTTAGCCTGCCCTAGCCCTGAGAGGAACCCCCTAACTTCCCGCCTATCCTATCTATAGATTTCCCCCTCTCCCCTAAAGGGCCTAGCCAGCCCCTATGACAACAATGGCACTACTAGCACTGCCCCTAGCATCACCTATGGCGGTCAAAACCATATGACTGCTAAGGACATGCTCTTTGTCATGCGGCTCTACATTGAGCAGCAGGCCACATACAGCCACTAGTCTAACCAAGCATTTTAGAAGCGGATTGCCAAGCACCTTATGGTAGACTGGGGAAAAGAGCACCAAACCTTAGCTAGGCTGTAGCCAAGCTTGTCTGCGAGCATAGGGCGTATATCGCTAAGCTTGATAGCAGTAGCAAGACACCTAGTCGTCTATGACAGATGCTCTAGACTCCTAGATCACCATGCTTGATGCTTGAGAGGAGGTCAAGCAAGCTCGGCAAGAGGCGTAGGGCACTGCTAATGTAGAGACAACTACATTAGCAGCCTAGTAGCAGGCCTCTCTTACGCTCTAGGTGTTACGATATCAAGTGCACCTTGCAGCTCGAGTGAGGGTTCAGGGGTGTGGGGAGCTTTCCGGAGTTGGAGTGAATTCTCAGAACTGGTCTCGCTAAAGAGAATTCACTCCACAACAACATAGCTGTATATAGATCGAGCCACTGCTCGAGTGCTCCTCTTCTCTTTCTCTAGATTGAGTTTAATTCATAATACCCAACTGGCGCCCTATGCCTTGGTGAACCGTGACACTAGGCACACAAGACACAGCTCTTAAGAGCTGCTTCTCATGCCTACTAGAAAGAGGACGAGGAGGACAAGAGCAGCACTGCCCCTAAGACCCAAACCCTGCAACTACAGACCCTACAACCTAACGATGACGACCAGCCACCCTAGCACCAGTTATAGCCCTCGAGGGGGATCCTATCGCTATAGGACTTGAACACCTCTTTAGCATTGTCAAGAGGGCTGCGAGTCAGATAGGCAGTGCCCTAAAGGAGGAGGAGAGGGAGGAAAAGGATGCTGCTGTCGAGAAGCAGCTTAAGGACCTAGAGTCTAAGGTTAGCACTGTTAACGACAATGTCACACAGATGCTAGCGATGATGCAGTAGAGGGGGAATTAGGAGGGGAATTAGGGGGAGGGGGGACAATAGGGATGTACATACCTATGATAGATAGGACTCTACTATAGGTGGAGTTAATCTAAACTGGTTCCTCTACTCTCGCCCCTGTAGGCATGTCTGCACATTCATAAGCCAGACAGTGACGACTGTCACGGTTCACCAAGGCATAGGGCGCCAGTTGGGTATTATGAATTAAACCCAATCTAGAGAAGAAAGGAAAGAGAAGAGGAGCACTCGAGCAGTGGCTCGATCTATATACAGCTATGTTGTTGTGGAGTGAATTCTCTTTAGCGAGACCAGTTCTGAGAATTCACTCCAACTCCGGAAAGCTCCCCACACCCCTGAACCCTCACTCGAGCTGCATGTCATACTGACATTCGTTGCACTCAGTTTGCTATCAAACTCAAGAGCAAACTTAGAAATCTCCTCCTCAAACCTACAAGTCACCATACATATCTTGGCTTATCACACCAACAACAGAAGCAATACTACTCAACGATTGCTGCAAACTCTTCTACTACATCTGTTTATGCTACATACATCACGGCATATCATTTGAACACTCATTGAACAAGTTATTAAGAAAATCTCCTCCTTAAGGGGGTGGGCCAATACTACCACATGGCATATCTCTACCAACTAGAGGCCTAGGAACATGAACGATAGCTCTAGAAGCTTCTACAACCCTCTATGATTCATTACACGTCATCGCTCCTTAGTTACCCACAAGATTGGTTAAGTTATGACATAATTTATCTATAGGTACTCTGACCTTGGACCTCCTTTTCACTTCCTATAGGCTAGGAACCCAAGAGATGGCTCTATGGGATTCTCTTACGTTCACTACATGATTAGCAAGCTAGTTGTGGGTCGCACTTGATTTCTAATACATTTACCAAGCCTGGTTAGTCATGGAAAGTCATGGAAAATGAGAGAACTACACTCCTTTGGCATAAATAGGATTGCCCTTTCCTTAAGAAAGGGCAAGCAGGCAATAACGTAGGTCATGGCGTAATGGGGGTAATGGCGTAATGGGGGTAGTGGGGTCAGAACCACCCCATCAAACCTACAACCCTATTAACTACTACTACTACTATGCTAGAATGGTCCGTCAGAAGAGTATAAAGGCTCAAGAACGCGAAATTCAAATTCAAAAAGCTATATTAGCTATTAAATCAAATCAATACAAATCAATATATGCTGCTGCAAAAGCTTTAGGGCTACCAGAGGAGACCCTCCGCTGTCGCATAAATGGAAGGCACACACGTGTAGAAGCACGCCAGCACCAGCAACTCCTATCAAAAACTCAAGAGCAGACCCTCTCAAAGTGGATTAAAGAGCTTACTGGAAGTGGTTAAGCTCCTAGCCATCGGATATTACGTGAGGTTGCAGAGGAAGTCCGGTGAAACAAGTGTCGGGTCTTCCAAACCCAGGTGAGCCGACCTACAGAGTTAGTTGACCAGCTCAGTCAGGTCAACTACCAACCCATCAAACCTGCTATAGACTGGCAGACTCGGCTATTTCTAACTAGTGGCTTGGCAGACCCCATCAAACCAACCGGCTCAGCAGCAGATCCGACCAACCCAGCAGACCCGACCGACTCAGCAGTCCCGACCGACTCAGCAGACCCGACCAACTCAGCAGACCCGACCAACTCAACAGACACAACCTCAAATCCCTAACTTACCTCTTGGGCAAGAGTGGGTGCCACGGTTCATTCAAAGGCATCCTAACTTACGTGTTAAGTTAGGAAGGAGGGTTGAGGCACAAAGGATGAATGGGGTCACAAAGCAGGTGTTGAAGGCGTGGTTTGACGCGTACAAGAGCCTCACAACAGAGCTAAAAATCGAAAATCACAACACCTACAACATGGATGAGACTGGGTTTTCAATTGGAACAATGCAATCAACAAGAATTATCGTGGATTCAAGCCTTAGGACGCGTTTTCAAGCCCATCTAGGCCGGCAGGAATGGGTGTCTGCTGTTGAGTGCATCTGCATGGATGGAACAACCACCGACCCCCTCATTATCTTCAAGGGACAGAATATACTACAGAGCTGGATTCCAAAGGAGGTTATAAGCAAATGGCACTTCTCTGCAAATACAAAAGGGTGGACAAGCAATCTTCATGGATTAGAGTGGCTAAAACGCGTTTTTGAGCCCTCTACAAGAGCAAAAGCAACACTTCCAAATGGACAACTACAACAAAGGCTCCTTATTTGTGATGGCCATGACAGCCATATAAGCGGGAGCTTCATATCACACTGCATACAGAATCACATATCGCTACTTATACTACCTCCACATACCTCTCATGTGTTACAGCCACTTGATGTTGCAATTTTTGGACCTTTGAAAAAACACCTCACAACAGCCCTCTCGCACCTTAATGAGGCGCAGCTCCTACGCATACAGAAAGCAGAATGGATGGATGCATACATACAAGCAAGAGCAGCTGCATTTTCAAATTCAAATATAACTTCTGCTTGGAGAGGGAGTGGGCTACAGCCGTTCCAGCCACAAACAGTCATACGTGCAGCGACGCTTCCTACAACAGACGTAGCAGAACGGCCAAGGACTCCAACAGAGCATGATATTTTTGAGAAAGTATTTTTGAATAGCAGTCCTCTTCATTTTCAGACACTTTACAAAGCAAATACAGTTCTCTCTTCTACAATAAGTCGTGGTGGTGTTTTGAACACTCCTACAAAGCGATATATTCATAAGTTAGCAGATGAGACAGAGAGGCTTAACACACGCCACATACTACAGCAAAGAGAGACGGATAACTTGCGCAACATAATTCAGAAAAGAAGGGAGCAAAAGAAGGGTAAAAGAGCTGTTTTGAAGGGTCAATTCCACATCTCTACAGAAGAACTCCGGTCGCAAGTAGCAGAAGCAGAAGCAGCAACAGCAACAGCTTTACAGAGGCCTAGAACAACACCACGACTTATAGAGGAAGCTACAATTGAGGAAATAGACAGAGAGGGTGAAGAAGAGATATATGACAGCGATTTAGATGAATTAGCCTAGTAGTAATTGAACAATTTCAATTTTTTAAAGGTGGTAGTGGTTTGATGGGGTGGTTCCGACCCCACTACCCCCGTTACGCCATTACCCCCGTTACGCCATGACCTACGTTACAGTAAATCGACTATCACATACTTCCCCGTCTTTTACAAGCTTTCAAGCATTCATCTTGTTACTCCTTGTTTCTGAAAAGTCAGTGAGGTGTTAACCTCTGACTTACCCCTGAGTTCCCAGACTCAACATTTGTTGCAACTTGTCTGAACAACTTCACTACATCACACACCTGATTGCTGCGTTGTGGAATAGTCTAAGCTACAACCCTTTGGCTCTGTTTCCTAAGACAGTGTGTTGTCTTAGTAAAATCATCCCTTCCTTGGGTGGCTAGATTCTCACATCTGGTGCACCCACCATTACACTGCAAGGTGCACTTGATATTGTAACAATGACAAAGTATGTAGCAACAGGCTGCATACCAGCCCTTAGCCCCTTGCCAAAGGCAGTATACGTCTAGCTTTGCTAGACAGAGCTAAAGACTCTCTCAACCTCAATCCTAACAGAGGACAGAGTAGTGTTCCATCGCTACTAGTCCTTAGGCTAGCTAAACCGCCTAAGCAGATGCTCCAACAGGCATGTAGTGCTAAAGGCAGCTGAGTAGGCTAGGTTGCCAAAGACATAGAGGGTCTCATAACCCTCTATGGTCACCTCCTTGATACAGAGCAGGGGAATCAGCTGGCATGGTTCCTGTTCCGTAAACCAGAACAGGCGCTATGCATTACCTAGGGGCAGGTCCCCTAGGCAGAACGACTGGTGTTCATAAATGAACACTAGCTGCTGAACCACTCGTAGCAACTGCTGCTGCTGCTTAATTAGGCAGTGACGATACATTGTCGCTGCCTAGGCTGTTGCTACCATGAGCAGCAACAGCAGGAGCACCTCCCCCTCATCCCACCCTCATCCTCCTTATGTGTTACCACCTAGTGCTAGTCTTTGGCCTCGACAAGGAGGGCTTCTAAGTGCCTTGCGATGAGTGTAAGGACAGTTCGAACCGAGGCTGACCTTCAAGTCTGCAGAAGTATCCAAAGTATAATGTGAAGACTTCGATACTCGAAGCAGTAGGACAAGGTATAGTAATTCAGGCTCCAAAGCATATAGTTACTTTATACCACAGGGGTCAAGTGGTGAGACTAACAGGTTGGCCAAGTGGTTCGACTCGAAGTAACGTAACTCGTGGCGTAACGGGACGGATGGCGTAACGGGACGCTTTGCCAGAGCCACCCGCACCCCACCAAAATAAGGTCACATGACCAAAATTAAAACGTTAATAACTTTTGTAATAACGTAGGTCGTGGTCAGACTGGCTACATGGCCAGACTGGCTATTAGTACCATCACATACAAATTTGTATGTGGAGGTACTTATGCTTGCGAAAATTAGAACCTTAATAACTCCTTTAATAAAAAGGCTAGAGCATATTCCTTGTATATATAGGAACTTTAAATAGTCATCTACTATATCTAAAGACGCTAATAATACTAGTGTCTTTTTACATAAGTTACTAAAGGTTTTAACTTTTGCCATATAAATTTTTAGTATAGCAAATCTAAAATTGTTAATAACTACCTAATAAGGCTAGCTTACATGCTAGCGTTTTTAATTATAACGTATAAGTATATAAATTATGTAAGTTTAATAACATTAAGCTCTAGCAAGTCAATTAAAGTAATTATTACAAGTTTGAATTATATATCACGTGATGTGAATTTGCTTGTGAATTTACCTGTAAAATTGAAATAGCCGGTCTGGCCATGTAGCTGGTCTGACCATGATCTACGTTATTGCTAGCGCTTTGATATATAAACTATTGTTATATATAGTCCTTAGTTAACGTAGGTCGTGGCCATACCGGGATGGTGGGGTAAGCCACCCCTTCAAAATATGAGCAGCTTCGAAATAATTGA